AACCACAGTGAAGGATAGCAGAATAATCCATCCCCAAATAAACAGAGTTTTTTTTTTGTTTTTTTTTTTTGAGAAAAAGCAGACCCAGTAGCTCTAAGAGCAAAGAAGTTACCCTTTGGTGAAGGCAACTTACATTTGTAAGAGAAGTCTCCATTTGTAAGGCTGACTCCCTCTCACCCCCAGAAGAGAGTGGGGAGAGTGGTGACTAAGTCACAGCAAACTCCGTGGGGAAGGCAGCAGGTTAAATCTGTACAGCCGCCTTCCTGTGCTGCCCGTCATCTCCCTCCCTCACACCCTATCTTTGTTTTGTCTTTAGCCGAAGATGGTATTTGGGGGGTGGCCCGGGCCATTCCAGGGAGATTTCCCAGGATGGTCTCCTGTGTGTAGGTACCTGTTACGAAACCTGTTCTTTCCTTGTCCGTCTGTTTGATGCGGGCGGTGGTCCTCAGCCACGAAGAACGAAGGGTGGAGGGAAAGTTATTTTTTCTCCCCTACAGAGTCTTCATCAATAGGGAAGATGAATACATAATAACTATTAATAATTATTAACTAATAATTAATCATGTGACATGTTTCCTATCTTTGTCTTGTCAGTGATTCACAAATGTACTGTTTCTTTGCCTGAAAGGCATAAAAGCTGCCTGCTTTGGTCACTTATTTGAGTTTTATATTTTTATGGGGTTCCTGTATGTATAAAATTAAAATTTTTTCCTCCCATGAGTCTGTCATATGTCAGCCTAATTACGAGGCCAGCCACAGACCCGGTGAGGTACGGAGGGAAGTGAACCCCCACCCACACCGGCATCGTGGCTCGTGCTTAGGACAAAGAGGAGCCGTCTCTCAGGTCCGCAGGGGAAGTTCTTGCTTTCAAGGTGACTAGGTCAACATGAGCATGTGCCCATTTGGACCAAAGACAGCATAGCCAGGGGTGATGAGGGAGCGTGGGGCAAGCTGAGTGTGATGGAGTTTCGGGGTGCTGGGGGCACGTGGGGTCCAGAACCCATGGCCAAAAGAGAATTCTTGAAGACATCTTTGGTGTAAAAAGGTGATTTTATTAAAGCACAGGGACAGGACCCGTGGGCGGGAAGAGCCGCACTGGGGTTGCGGGGGGTGGGGTGTGACTGTTTTATTGAGTTGGGGGAGACAGAGTCAAGAGGGGTTTCCTAGGAGACCTTCACATGCTCAGGGCTCACTGGAGGCCCAGCTACGGTCAAGCTAAGGTGGTTTTCCCTCTAGCAAAGCGTTAGCATGAAGATGATAGGGAGTTCTGGGACTTCAGGCTATTGATGGGATTACCTTTTTCTGGTTAACTGGTGATTTATCAGTTTAACCATTTGTGGGTTTGTTTTTGTTTTTTTGTTTTTTGGGTTTTTTTTTGTCCTTTCTTGTTTTGGAGTAGCTGAGAGTGTCCAAGGAGTACCATACATGTCCTACCTGGGGTGGGGTGGGGGGTGCTGTTAGCCTGCACTCTGCCCTCAGCTTGCCCCTCACTCTCTCATCAAGGGGGTATCTCATCAAGGGCATATCTATACTCGGTTGCACATGATCTCTTTTGCCCCCTGCCCCCAATCCAAGCTGAGCCCCTACGCAGGAAGCCTGGAGAGGGTAGGGGGGGAATGAATGAATGGGCAAGATGTTCCTTAAGAAGGACCCCCTTCCAGGTAAAGAGAGAGTCCCGGGGGCTCAGCCCAGGCCCATACTCGAGCTCAATCGCAAGTTTATGTGAGTGTGCACAGGCTTCCAGGGAGATGTTCCTATGTCTCACCGCGTTCCCACGGGGGGGGGGGGCGGGGGCTGCGAAACTACGTGTTAAGGACCTCCCACCCTAGACTTTACAGAGAGGTGGTCAGGAACAGTAAACAGGACTCTTAGCTTTGAGCAACCGTGAGCTTTTAAAGGTGTGTTTACCTTGTGAGTTAGGTTTGTACCGAATCTCCCTGAAAAAGGAAAAGAGTGCAGGAAAATCTGCTTCAGAGGAGAATTTCGGCAGCTGTCTTTGTGTCCCGTGATTCTGAGCCTATTTACAACTCTGTAAACTGTCGGTAACTGGTAGCAATGGAAAAGTGATGGGAAAATGGAATTGTCTCATGACGGGACATTTCCTCCTCCCCAGTCCGCGCCCCCTGCCCACTCCCACCGCGGAAAAGCCGGTTGTGACCCCTCTGACACATGCGTGTCACTATCCCTCATCTGTAAATGGCATCCCTGTAAGGCCACAAGTCTAAACGTCTAAACCAAACTGACTCCATGACAGGCTTTAAGTTTCCCCTCTGAACTAGAAGGCCTGAGTTTCAGCTTCCCCGAAACTTTTAGGCAGTTACACATTGCCCAAGGCAGGAGAAACCACCCTTGCAGCACCCAATCCGGAAACGCCAGCGACCACCCTCCACATTGTTAAGGGAGAGGCCTGGAGACAGAAACTATCGATAGGACCCTGTTACCTGATGTTAAAGTTAACCCGTCAGTCGCCGAACAAGACCCTAGGCTCGCTCTGTGATTGGTTGAATTTAAAGGTACTCTAAACATTGTAATTGGATCCCGCCAAAAGTAACGAATATTCTAGACAATGTGTATGGTCAAACCCGCTGTCAATGATGTTGAATAATTATGATTGGATCACTGTTCCCATGTCACAACTTCTGTAACTCCCCCGTCACAAACTACATAAAAACCCTATTCTGCCCTTGTTGGGGGCTCTCAGCAGGATCCACGGAGCTGGTGAGGTCTGGGAGCCCGAGCTCGAGCCCGTAATAAAGCCCTTTGCCTTTGCATGCGTGACGCGGTCTCCCCGGTGGTCTCTGGTCGGTGAGGACACTGCGATCTGGGTCTAACATCCCTTCTTTGACTTCTCGGAACCGGTAATAACCGCTCATCAGTTATCTCAGAAAGGAGATAAATGAAATCTTTTTCAAAAAAACCTTTTCAAAATTTTTATATCCGTATGAGAGTTATGATTGTACCTGGTCTTTTTGTTTGTTTTTTGGTTTTTGGAAATTACGCTTCATTGAGACCTCTGTGCCCTAGACACTAAAGGGGTTTCCATGGCAACCGAAGGACGCCTCAGCCCCGCCCTGCTTTTCTCCCCGACGGCCAGCAGATGGCGCCAACGGGCCATAACCCCTGCGTCCAGGGCCCCGACCTCGCTGCCAGAGGTCGCACTGTGGTCAGGTCCCCTCCCTAAGGAAGGAAAAAAAAAAAAAATCTCAAGGCGACCTGGCTATATGTATGTGACGACATCCCTCACGACCCTGTAACATGAGACCACGCTAATCAGACTGCATGTTAGTGTGTTACCATATATGGGAGACAAAGAAGTAAGAAATATATTTAAAAAACACGCCACGTGGTGTTCGGGGCTCAGTTCTTTGGGTACGAACCCAACTGAGCGATGCCGGCTGGAAAAAAGTTGCTTCCTGGAAAGAAAAGCCTCGGTGTCACACTCTCTGTGCAAGAATCCTGCTAGATGTCATGCCGCCGCCGCCAGGCCGGCTTCCGGGTCGCAGAACTTGCAACGAACGTGAGGTTTTCCTGAAAAGAGGGGGAAAGGGGCATCACTAGGTTCTGGTCGATAAGAACAGAACACAAGCTGAGGCGAAAAGTGCTCGCTTGTCGGGACCAGGGCGCAGCAGCCATTTCCAGGCCTGGCGGTGGCGGCGCGTCGTGGGGCATTGGTGGTTCAGTGGTAGAATTCTCGCCTGCCACGCGGGAGGCCCGGGTTCGATTCCCGGCCAATGCACGGGCTCGTGGAGCCATCGCTTTTCCGATCCTTTCGAATAATTTTTAAATCGCTCCGGTGCGTGCAGACGTAGGATGCCTCCCACGCTGGCCTTGGGGGGCTTCTCGTAGCCGGTGGGGCTGCGGGGTGCACACGAGCTTCCGCTCGGTTCAGCGAGGCAGGCGGGGCAGGCTGTGTTCCCGACGGGATCATCGAATGTTTTGCTTTCAAAATATTTGGGGTCAGTGTATTCTGAGCTCATTGTCCTCTTCGAAGCATGAATAATAAGTGGGCTTTGAGGGGGGAGAAAAGCCCCAAATATCTTAGAGAAAGAATAGAAAAAGCAGCAGCCTTTGGAGGGAAATAGAATAAAAGACTTACCTAAAGAAGCTTGGCCGTGCTGAGCAGAGTGGCGCAGCGGAAGCGTGCTGGGCCCATAACCCAGAGGTCGATGGATCGAAACCATCCTCTGCTAGGCGGCCTTTTTTTTTTTTCTTCCAAAAAAAGATGCATCGAGAACATAGTTTCTCCTCAGTCTCTAATGAAAGCCTTGGCAAGTCTTGGCAGGGGAAGTATTTTGGAGACAATAATCCACGAATCAGAAAGCTTCTAATTAAGCAAAGTCGGGTGCCCCGGTCGGAGAGCAGGGATTCAATTTTAACCCATCAGCTGAAAGGTCACATCTCTACCTACTACTGTGTGGTAAGACTATAAGACCGTAGGTTTAGATTTCAAAAGAACCGTAAAGAGCTATTTTCAGTTTTGGAAATTTACTTAAGGACAGTTTGGAGTATTTAAAATGACAGCTTTCCCAACAGTCTCTCCCCGCTTCCTGTCTTCCACCTGCACCCCCTCCGTTTTCCTCCTTAGCATATGGTATGCGGTGTATTTTATAGTATATATTTTCTTTCCCCTGGGATGTAAATTCACAAGAAGGGAGATTTTTTTGGTCTGTTTTGGTGATTTGGTAAGTTCGGGAAAAGTGAAAAGCTACAGTTTCTAATATACCAAACACCAATATTGGATATTTTTTTTCACCTTCTCTTACCTTTTAAAAAATTATGAAAGGATACAAAAATGACCACGCAAAATCGACCTATTATTTAACATGTGGCACATTCACTAGAAATCTCTTTTATATTAAAGAACAAAAGCGCACCTGGAACGGCAGCATCCTAACTGCATCCCCGGCACCGCCCTCTATCTCAGGGCAGCACTACGTGAATTCGACGTGCATATCTCCCAGGTTTTTAATAAATAAATTTTATTTACAAAGAGTCTGGGAACAGATCCTACAGGAAGGCTTTTATTGAAAGAGCACAATACTTATTTTAAAAGATGAGACAATCTGGTAAAATAGCCAGAAAGGAGTGGCGGTTGCCGCTGGGGTGAGTGGTGGATGGGACTCAAGCCTTCGGATTCCTCAGAGTGCTGGTCTTCGGTCACAGTCCTCACTGCATGGCTTTTAATGCGGACGCCGGAGTTTCCAAACCGCAGAGTTTCCTCGTGTGGAGCCCGATTCCTCTTGCAGAGCTGGGTGTCCACTCGACGGGCTTTGGGGGAGGACGTGGAGGCTGAGAGCAGCTCGCTCCTCCCCACCTTCCTTTCCACGTTCATCACCTGGAATCATTTAGATTTTATTAATATCTACAACTGTAATTCCATCTCTATCGAGTTGTTAAATAGCCTAACCATTCGAAGGTGATCAAAGATGCACCCTCCACGGGTCACATAACCTGCTGGAGGCTGCCACAGTGTGACAGTGAAAGGCCACCCCGGTGTCCCCTCCATCCACCTCCAAGTAGTTGGTAATTTATTCTGACAGCTCATAACCCTTTTATTAGTACTCCCCTTTCCCGTCTTACTTCTCCACGCCCACATCCCACTCTCAGGCCTGCTTTCATCAGCAGGTACCAAATAGTGGGATACCAGCACCTACCCTTGAAAAACATCCTTTTCAGTGCGGATGAGACAAAGCCCCTTCTCTGCTATGGAGAGGAATCGATCCTGTAAGGCTTCGTCAACGGACTAACGTTTCCGATGAAGGATTTTCAAAGACCTCGAATTCAGATTATTCCTATCACCTGAGAAAGTAACATTTAAATGCTAAGCCTGCCAATGATTGTCTTTCTCTTTACCAGTGTATTGCCCCAGTAATAAGATGCTAATTCGAACCTGCATGTCGCCTCAAGATCTTTACCTTTGTGATATTTCTTTGCTCAGAAGACAATTTGGTTCTTATTTCTCCCAAAGCATGAAGGTAAAGTAAAATAAAAAATAACATAAGATCAATGATTCACTAGATAGTTGAATTAAACAGAATGTGTGAGTGTGTCTCATTTAAACGGACAGCAGGAAATAAGAGACTAAAAGAGAAGGCCAAGCTGGGTTCGGGACCAAGGGTGAGCCATTTATAGAAAGGGAGAGATGGAGCTCAGTTTAAGATTCGTGTGGCTCCTTCAGTCTTTCCTTTCGTTCCTCCTAAGACAGGAGAGATGGGGACAATCACTAAGGAAAAGACTGGACCAAAGAGAGTAGATAAAGGAGAATATATCACAATAAGACAAATGTAACATAATCAGATATGAATGGGTTTATTTAACCAGGTAACTATTAAACCCACAATAAACAACTCCGCTGTTCACTTTTATTTCATTGCTGAGAGCAAGCTTAAAGAATTAAAATTTTTTCTTTTAGCTCACTTCTTTATCAGTGTGTTTAATTGGCGAACAGTGGCTGTTGAAAGCCTGCGGTGTGCATGACCCCGTGCTCTGCCCAGACCTTTCAGGTGAGGCTCGGATTCCTTTCCGTGGAGGACTTAGGAGGCTGGGGAGACCTGGGCACTGGAGCTGGGCTTTGGTGGCGGTGAGTGTATGGGACAGCTTGTCACGGGTACAGGAGTCTCTGTGAACGACCAGAGATCCCCAACTGTGAGCTTAAGGGTTTGGTGAAGCGTGCAGATGTTACACATGTTTTATTAGTTGCCTATATTGAAATTTAGAATATTCAATATTCGAATGCGTATCCTCTCGAAATTTGGAAAGCCCGCTGTCCAGGGCTCGCGGCCCCGCAGGGCGACAAGCAGGGAAAGTCCGCCGCGTGGGCCTCCTGACCTTCAGGTCCGCCACCCCCGCCGGTCCCATCACGTGCAGCCGCTGGCTGGCATTATAGCAACAATAAGAGAACAGTGAGATGCGCCATTAAAACCGGGAAAGTGACATTTGGGGTGAAAAGTCCATGTGCTTCGAGAAAAAGAGCAAAGACCTCATTTTTGTGTGCAGGTGAGGCAAGGTTTCTAACTTTCCGCCCGTTTTGCTCTTATGGGCCGGGACTCTGAGCATTGGATCCTCTGGTGCAGGAACAGCACAGCACAAGTGTCTTGCTAGTGGCACTTTAAGCCAAGTGTAGACACTTTTTATGAAAGACAATTGGACTGGAAGGTTGACAGCAAAGCATGGAAAATGGCTTTATGTGCTGTAATGGATTGAATCGTGTTCTCTCCAAGTTCATATATTTGAGCCGCAACCGCAGCGTGACCGTATCTGGACACACGGCCTTTAAGAGGAAATTAAGGTTGGATCAAGTCATAAGGAGGGTCCTGACCCAGTAGGACTGATGCCTGACAAGGACGCTGCCCACGCAGAAAACAGCCCCCATGGGACACGGCTGGAAGCGAGGGCTACCCCGCCCACACCTTGATCTTGGACTCGTGGCCCCCAGATCTGTGAGAAAATAAATACATGTTGTTGAAACCACACAATAAATGGTACTCTGTTGTGGCAACACCGAACTACTGCAAGCATTTTAACAGAACGTTTGGCCTTGATTGGGCAGAAGTGTCAATGGAGGAACACGAGACAGAAAGATCTAGAAAGAAAATGTCTACCTGCAAAGAGGGCAAGAGTCAGATTTGGGGGAAACAGGCATATTTAAAAGGGCGGAGGGACCTGCGAAATGACCAGGGTTACCAAGTTCATACTGTGACCCCTTCGTGGTGGAAAAAGTGCATCTTAGTTACTTGTAGTCATATTGCCGACTCCTGACCTGTCTTCAGAGAGCAGCCCTGCAAAATCAGAGGCTTGAGTGTCCTGTCCGGTGATTACAGGACACAGAGCGCTTGTTACTTTGAGGACTAGAAATAGAGAGTGCAGGGCTCTATTACTTTAAAATTTATTTTAGGGTGCAGATAATTTTCTTTTTTTTTTTTTTTTGACAGTTTTAACACGACAGCAATACTCACCAGGACTTCCTATCATGCGCAGGAGTGACTGTTGAGGAAACTCACTAAATCGGTTAAAGGGGACAGAAATACTAACTCTACCTATCCCCTTAATGGTTGTCCTTGGGAAGCCCTGGACCTGCTTCCACTTTCTTGCCACCAGACGGCAGAAGAGGACAAGGCGACCTAACGCTGCACTGTAAGGGCCTCCAAGGATGGAGGGAAAACTAGTCTCGGAAATAGAGCAAAGAAAAAAAAAAGTGAGGAATATGATGTCGCTGAGCTCAGAAACATGGCGAAATTAGGGAGCTGCTCTCCAGGAAGCAGGTCAGCTATCGTTGGGCTCTGCAACCAATCCCCAAGGCTTAAGGGCGGGGCCTCCACTGGCAAAGTAACCAAAGGCGAATTTGGGCAGCTGTGGCAGAGGACAAAGCTTAAAGCCTCTTCCCAAAGGGCGTCAAAGAAACCACACTAAAGTTACAGGCCAATAAGCCAACATGCTCCCCCAACCGCCCGTGTGGACGACTTACACCCTACCCTTCCCCCCGGTTGTTTTCATAACTGTCCGAACCCAGCCCCAAACACGTCTAAAGGAAACGAGACAGACGAAATAGGCCAGCTGCTTTCTGGGAAAATGTTGGTGGCTCTGAAAAGAGCCTTTGGGGTTGGGTAGCAAGACGCTTACTTGGCAAGTTCACTTGGAGCTGGTGTACTTGGTGACGGCCTTGGTGCCCTCGGACACGGCGTGCTTGGCCAGCTCGCCGGGCAGCAGCATGCGCACGGCCGTCTGGATCTCCCGGGACGTGATGGTTGAGCGCTTGTTGTAATGCGCCAGGCGTGATGCCTCGCCTGCGATGCGCTCGAAGATGTCGTTGACGAACGAGTTCATGATGCCCATGGCCTTGGACGAGATGCCCGTGTCGGGGTGCACCTGCTTCAGCACCTTGTACACGTACACCGAGTAGCTCTCCTTGCGGCTGCGCTTGCGCTTCTTGCCGTCCTTCTTCTGCGCCTTGGTCACCGCCTTCTTGGAGCCCTTCTTCGGGGCGGGGGCGGACTTGGCGGGCTCGGGCATGGTCGGGAGGACACCGGTCGCGCTGGAGACAGACAGCGGAAGACAAATAGTAGCCGCAAAGCGCGGCTTGCCCTTTTTATATAGAAGCCCTTATGCAAATAAGGTGTAAGTTACAGCCCTAGGTCTCATTGGTGACTATTCAAATGACATCAATAATCAGCTCTGCCCAATCACGACGCAAGGATCGCAAAGCTGCATTCTCATTGGATAAACTAAAGCCACAACCCTAACCAATGCCAAGTCTCTTTTTTCGCGCCCAATAAGGGTTATAAAAAGTGCTGGTCTCGTACCCGTTTTACTAGTTACGCTTAGAGAACCCAGTTTCGTGATGTCGGGACGCGGGAAGCATGGCGGCAAGGCGCGCGCCAAGGCCAAGACGCGCTCGTCGCGGGCCGGGCTGCAGTTCCCGGTGGGCCGCGTGCACCGCCTGCTGCGCAAGGGCAACTACGCCGAGCGGGTCGGGGCCGGCGCGCCCGTGTACCTGGCGGCCGTGCTCGAGTACCTGACGGCCGAGATCCTGGAGCTGGCGGGCAACGCGGCGCGCGACAACAAGAAGACGCGCATCATCCCGCGCCACCTGCAGCTGGCCATCCGCAACGACGAGGAGCTCAACAAGCTGCTGGGCCGCGTCACCATCGCGCAGGGCGGCGTCCTGCCCAACATCCAGGCCGTGCTGCTGCCCAAGAAGACCGAGAGCCACCACAAGGCCAAGGGCAAGTAAGGCCGAAATTAATAACTTCACTAAGACCAAAGGCTCTTTTCAGAGCCACCCACCATTTCTGTGGAAGAACTGAACACGCACTTTTACTGAACCCTACGAGTAACCTGAAGTTGAGTAACAACGCGGTCATCTTTGATATACTCAGTACCATTTGATTAATCTGTGGCTTGCTCCATCAGAAGACCATTAAAACTCCTCATTGTCCCCTTCCCCCTCAGAACACTGTTCTGGGTAATTAAAAAGTAAATTTCTATCGTTCCAGCAAATACATTAAACATTAAGCCTATTTTGTTTTTACACCTCACCCCGTCCCCGTGTTTGTCATTAGGAGACCTGGTGGTCCATTGGTCAATTAAAAGCTTCCAAACATTTTCAGAATTACTCCTATGTGAAAGTTCTAATTACTGGCCACTAAATGTCACCATGCCACACCCTGCTGATTAAATTAACGCAGGATCTGCGGGTTAACCCAGTTAGCTCCTTGATTTCATCAGAATCGGTTAATGAAGGTGTCAGATAACTACTCGTTATTCACTCTAACATACCCAGCGCCCGTCCCCACACCACGCAGAGCAGAGTCTGGGTGTTCCCAGGAGCCAGTGTTCCTGTAAAACCTTTGTTCCAGGTCTTGGTACCGTCATGAAACAGTATCTGCACTGCTTATGCAATGCATCTGAACACTGCAGTTATGAAACAGAACTTATTTAGTGAGAAACTAACGACACATTATTCCGGTGTGATCCCCCCTCCCTTTCGAGGAGGAAGAAGCTGAAATAATGCATTTTTTAAAAGTTACTTTAGGCGCTGACTTCCACAGATTCCAGATCCGAGCCTGCTTCACTAGTGGAATCTTAACGTTGGAGCACAGCGATGATTGCGTTCCTGTAACAGTAGAAAATAAAATCAGTAGCCTGGAAAACAAGACTGTGACAGAGATCTTAGGACCCAAATGACTATTGGAGGAGGAACCAATCAGGTTACTCCCGCGACAGTTCTGGCCAATCAGGACCATATCATCAGTATAAAGCCTGGCGCCGGCGCCAACTCTCCAGTCGCTGGTTTTCAAAACGCAGGTTTCTGGCCATGGCTCGCACGAAGCAGACGGCGCGCAAGTCGACGGGCGGCAAGGCCCCGCGCAAGCAGCTGGCCACCAAGGCGGCCCGCAAGAGCGCGCCGGCCACGGGCGGCGTCAAGAAGCCGCACCGCTACCGGCCCGGCACGGTGGCCCTGCGCGAGATCCGCCGCTACCAGAAGTCCACCGAGCTGCTCATCCGCAAGCTGCCGTTCCAGCGGCTGGTGCGCGAGATCGCGCAGGACTTCAAGACCGACCTGCGCTTCCAGAGCTCGGCCGTCATGGCGCTGCAGGAGGCGTGCGAGGCCTACCTCGTGGGGCTCTTCGAGGACACCAACCTGTGCGCCATCCACGCCAAGCGCGTCACCATCATGCCCAAGGACATCCAGCTGGCGCGCCGCATCCGCGGGGAGCGGGCGTAGACTGTCCCCCCGACGCTGGTCGGGGCGCCCGCGCTTTCTCCCTCCCAAAGGCTCTTTTCAGAGCCACTTCCGTTTTCACCGAGAGCAGCTGTTGTACTACTGGGCTGGTGTGTGTTGAAAGTGCAGTTAGCGGAAGACCCCGGGAAATGGAGACTGCGTATCACAGTGTTCCTCCTGCAGCCAGACGGTCTCTTAATGCAAAATATGTGCTTGGTTGCTGAGGCCTCGCCTGCCTGACTGTCTTCCATTAGCTACTCAAGCAGTTCCTGAAGACGCTGCTCATCGAAAGGCTCTCTAGAGACAAAGTTGCCATTTGGCCCCATGAGCGACCCAGATGTAAAAATAGAAAGGAACTTTGCTGTGTAAAGCCAGATTCAGCATAGATCCGTATTTCCGGCCCCCTTGCCTCACGCACCGGGAGTCCGAGTTCGGTGGAACTGTTCTCCGGTGTATCCGCAGCACGCGGGACGGCCCCTTACCTTGCGCGTTGAACTTGTTCCCAGGAGGTGGGGGGTGCTTCTAGGTTAAAATTCGGCAATGCCTCTGTTTTGCCTACAAGCTAGCAGGCTGCAGGCCTCACATTTTCCTGATACTCCATTTCTTGTACACAACTCCAAAAAAGAGCAAAAAAGCTACAATTTGGCCGAGGCCGTAGCTCTGTTGGCCAAACAAATGAGCTGGTGTGCAGACCATTCTTCTCCTGGCCTTTCTCATTGTTTAGCACAAACATCTGGTTACTATAGGGTAAAGCTCAGGAATGTTTACTCCACACGCACTCTTAAGATTCGATGCTGTACAGGCAGCATCCTGGCCCTCGGGTCCCCATCTCTAGCTTCCGGGAGCCTGACCCCCGTGCGCCAGGAGCGCACCACAGGCAGCCTGACGCCCGAGGCCTGGAGGCCAGCCGCCTGAGAAAGGGCAACCTCCCTGGGGTAGATGCCAGTGTGGGACCACTTGGGGAGGAAATAACCCTTACCCACGGGAGGGCTTTCTTCTTACCATTGTCCCTCACGTGACAATACCCTCTTATGAAACGCTCCAGAACTGTTCCCCTCAAACCCGTGTGAGTCAAATGAGTTTTTGCCCCGCTTTGATCTCCACACGGAACATACATGTCATGAGGCCAAAGAGTTTTTTCACTGTTTCCTGTCCTATCCTGGGAATAGTAAAAGCCTGACACACGGCAGGTGCTCATTAAATTCCCATTGAGTGAATGTACTGTGAATTTGCTATCTTTTCCACCCATGAGAGCCGTCAGCCCTAGGCCGTCACTGAGGCCTCCCGCCTCCTGCATTACGCCTGTGAGCCTGCATGCTTTGCATCACGACTATTTTGATTCCCATGGGGAGTAGATAAAACGCTGACAATCATAGAAAGCTTGACAGTGTCCAGAAGTATCTTTACGTATCTTTTTGGATGTGAACCTGACTGTAGCTGGGGCTTAGACAGGGCCTATCACTAACTACTCCCTCACTAGCTCCAGACAAGTTTATCTTTTCCAAAAGTACCCAAGTATTAGGGGACAAAGCTGGTGGATCTGTTTAAGATTCTTTCAATAAACCCTAGGAGGGAAGAAGATCTGGATGAGCCTCCATTGGCTGTAGGGAAATAAAGGAGAATTAGACTTTTTTAATGTTTTATTTATTTCTGAGAGAGAGAGAGAGAGAGAGAGAGCAGGGGAGGGTCAGAGAGAGAGGGAGACACAGAATCTGAAACAGGCTCCAGGCTCTATGCTGGCTGTCAGCACAGAGCCCGACGTGGGTCTCGAACCCATGAACTGTGAGATCATGACCTGAGCTGAAGTCAGACGCTTAATCGACTGAGCCACTCAGGCACCTCGAGAATTAGTTTTAAAAAAAGAAGAAAAAAAAAAAAGCTAGGGGTAAGAAAGCCTAGTCTCCTTAAAGCAAAAAGGCTCAGGGTCAGACAGAAGTTAGGCTGTTTGGGTAACTTCCAGATCCCAGGACATCTGCTGGGATCGGGGCGGGGTTGGGTTGGGGTATGTGGAACAGTGAGGATATATTCTGTTGGAAGACTAAGTCTGGGCATAGTAAAGGTGGTTTTAGGACAAAATTCTGATACTCTTACCTTCAAAAATGGAGCCTAATTCTTCTCCCTTTGAGTTTGGACCAGATTTAGGGACTGGCTTCTAGTGAATGGGATAAAGCAAATGGATGGAGTCGAAGTGGAGAGCTATTTGGAGACTAGGTCACAGAGGGTTGTTTCCTGCTTGCTCTCTCTCCGGTCACTTGCCCGGGGACACTGACTGCCGTGCGCAGCACGCAGGCAGCCCACGGAACTGCTGCTTCTCCAACAGTCTAAGAGCAACCCTCAACAGCCATGGGAGTGAACCGTCTCCAGCCCCGGTCAGGCCTCAGTGGCCAGGCCTCTGTGGACAGCTTGACTCTTCTTGAGAGACCCTCAGCCAGACCGCCCAGCTACACCACTGTTTTCTGACCTTCAGAAGCTGTGTGAAATAATAAATTTGTTCTTAATTTGTAATAAATTTGTTTTGGGGATAATTCATCACACAACAGAGAATAATTCATGCAATGGAAAGAAAACACCAGCAGGACTTAGTGGTCACCCAGTGGGCTCCATGAGTCTAGACTAAATGACCACATCCCACGGTGCTGCACCTTAGCCACGGCCCAGTTAGCAGCGGGTTTTCCTTTGCTGCTGTCCAGGGGCTGGAGACCAGCTCTGTGCCCCTGAGGATTCAGCAAGGTGAAGCCTTTGGCTCCTCAGGTAGGGCCGCGTTGACGGTTATGTACCTGATATGGTCACCCCCAGCTGCAGGCTTTAGAGGGCGTGGGGAGTCCTCGCTCACTCTCAGTAGCACTTTCTCCCTCTCTTTTTGGAAAACTACCTGCTGAAGGTTCCATCTCTCTCTCTCTTTTTAAAATTTATTTATTTACTTAAGTGATTTCTACACCCAACGTGGAGCTTGAATTCATGACCCGGAGATTAAGAGCTGCATGCTCCAGGAACTCAGCCAGCCAGGCACCCCCAGAAATACCATTTCTAATGGTCAGATATACTTCTTTTTATTTTTTTTATTTTTTTAATTTTATTTCTAGGAGAGAGAGAGAGAGACAGAGTGAGCAGGGGAGGGTCAGAGAGAGAGGGAGACACAGACTCTGAAATAGGTTCCAGGCTCTGAGCTGGCAGTCAGCACAGAGCCCGACGTGGGGCTCGAACCCACGAACCATGAGATCATGACCTAAGCGAAAGTCGGACGCTTAACCGACTTAGCCACCCAGGCGCCCCCAGATATACTGTTGCAGGATTCTCACTCAGAGAGTCGTGACACTGAGACTTTTCTTTCCAGGAAGCAACTTTATTCATGCCGGCACCGCTCAGTTGGGTTTGTACCCAAAAGAACTGAGCGGCCCACATCACATGGCATCGTTTTTTTTTAAATACATTTTCTATTTCTTTGTCTCCCATATATGGTAACACACGTAAACATGCAGTCTGATTAAGTTGTTTCAATTTACAGAAACATGGGGGATGTAGGCAGCTGGACTCATATCTAGGAGACTTTGAAGTCTTCTCTTCTCTTCTTCATTTTTTTTCTTTCTCCTTAGGGAGGGGTTCTTACCACAATACTTCTTAAATAAACCATTACCAATTATTATTCTGTGACTCTTTTTCCAGATCCCACACCAGTACAGACTAGCAAACACATAGATTATAAGTTATTTAAAATTTTTTTGTTAATATGGTATTTATTTTTCAGAGAGAGAGAGAAGCATGTGCAGGGGAGGGACAGAGAGAGAAAGACAGAATCTGAAGCAGGCTCCAGGCTCTGAGTCGTCAGCACAGAGGCCAGTGCAGAGCTCAAACCCAGATCAAGTAGGACACTTAACTGACTGAGCCACCCAGGTGACCCAAACTATAAGTTATCTTAGATGTCATTTTCCTTAATGATGAAACGGATACTTGATTTCTTCAAGAAATTGCTTTAAAGATAAATGTGGTTATATATGAGACCGTAGGAGAGTACCCCAGAACACATAGTAGGTGCACAGTAATACTCAGTAAATCTAACTTCATCTCTGAATCCTGGTGTGTGTGTCTCTTGTAACACTGAGGAAATACACCCACATCCCCTGATAAGACTACATTCAGGAGTCATCACTCTTGTCATTGGTTGATATTTGGAAAACAATCTAATTTGATCAGAAACACATTAGCGACTCATAAAAAAGATTTCATTTGTGCTAATGGCCAATCTTACTACTTTGAAGGTTTCTCTTAGTTTCTGTCTCACAAGGTGGAATTCTCCAGACTTGTCTTCCAGCTCTGGACAGTACTTGTTGCTCAGGAACACCTATGTGTAGGAGGCAGGGAAGATGTTGAGATAATTAGATAAGAACAAACAGATGTTTTTTGGGGAAAAAATCTGATTTTAAATGGAGACAGTTGAATGGCTAACAATTTTATGAAGAATTTGCATACTTCACTAGGTAATCATATAAATGCAAATTAAAATAACGAAATACTGGATAAAATCACATGCTGCACACGAGGTGAAGAAACTTACTTTCCTGTGGTGGTTTTACTGATGGTTTTACACAACACATTTTGAAGAACTGTCTAATTTACTTTGTAGTAGCGGGTATGCCCAGGTCTATGGCCCAAGGAAATTCTCCCACAGACCCATAAAAGGACAGATCAAGAACACTCATCAAAGTGCAATTTGTGAAAGCAAAAGGGTAGAGATAAATTAAGGGCATGAGTAAGTAAAGTATAGTGCCTGCATTCCGAGAAATGCTCTTTCTTCTAAGATCAAGAAACAAGTAACTGGTAAAAAGAAGAGCTGAACCAAAGACTCAACCCTGCTACTGTCATTCAGTTCACGCCTGGACACTTGGGCCATGATCGTCAACAGAATTTTCTGATTTACTTACAAATAACCTGGAATAACCACCAAAACCAAAGGCACCAAATCTGAGTGCTTTTTTTTTTTTCCTTTTTCTTTCTTTATTAAAATTCAAGTTAGTTAACATACAGTGTACTCTTGGCTTCAGGAGTAGAACCCAGTGATTCATCACTTACATACAACACCCAACGCTCACCGCCAGGGCCCTCCTCAATGCCCATCCCCCCCACGTCCCCTTCAGTTTGTTCTGTGTTTAAGAGTCTCTTACAGTTTGCTTCCCTCTCTGTTTTTTATCTTGTTTCCTCCTCTTCCCCTATGTTCATCTAAGTCTTGAATACTTTTCAAACATGATTTACAGGACACCAGTGTCTCTGTTCCGGTTGTTAAAACAGAAAACCAGAGGCGGGGCTTACAAACAGCAGAAATGTATTTCTCAGAGTTCTGGAGACTGGGAAGCCAGAGACAAAGGCTTTGTCAAATTCAGTGTCTAGCGAGAACTTACTTCCTGGATCACAGATGGTCCTGTACGGTGGAAGACACAGTGGCTCACTGGGGTCTCTTTTACAGAGGCACTAACAGCATTCGGGAGGGCCCTGCACTTACGACTTCAGCACCTGTCGATACCTCCACTTCCAAGGAGCATCACATCACGGATGAAGTTTCAACGTATGAATTCTGAATGGACACAAACCTTCAGTCTATAGCAACCAGTTCATTTGCAAAGAGCAGAAGTTTAGGAACTGTGTTCTTAGCCTCTCCCCAGGAGAGCTGGGGGGCCGCTACACCCTGGCCCTCAGCCTCTCCGTGCTTCTTGTTTTCTCAGTAGCCAACTCTAGAGATACTAGAAAGGTAAGATGAACAAAACTTCCTGGCAACATTGCTTGATAGATTTCAGACATGAAAACTAGCTTAATTAAGAGAAGCTTAGAAAACAAACAAGGCAGCAATGTCCAGTGTGAAATACCTCCTATATTGGAGAATACATTTGAGTCTTCAGAACAAAGCAAAGGTTGCCACTGATTAAATAGTTTTGAAAATCACTTTTCCAGCCATTAGTGGACAAGAAAATGACACAGGACCCTAGGATACTGGGTGGGGTAAGACGAAGAGAGGAGGAAGCCAAGGTTGGTGCAGTGCACTCTGCTCAAACTTCTTCAATTACCCTTTTTTAAAAAGATTATTTACTGGGGGTGGGGGGCAGAGAGGGAGGGAGAGAAAGAATCCCAAGCAGGCTCCGCACTGTCAGCAGAGCCCAATGTGGGGCTGGAACCCACGAATCATTAGATGATGACCTGAACCAAAGTCTAGCATTTAACCAACTGAGCCACCCAGGCGGCCCCTTCAGTCAGTCTTAATATTGTGTGGAAGGTGTTAGAAGCTGACGGAAGTTTTATGGAAACCAGCAGGGATGACTGCTCTGAGGCGAGGGCAAGGAAAGGGAACTCCACGCTTTTTCAGGTCTCACAGTTAAGATTCTGAGCTGGTAAAAGGCTAATCTATGTGGACGTAAGACACTATGAAGTGGAAGAAAGGATTTGAGAGCCTAAGTTCATGGAATGGGAAACACTCCCAAAAGCTAGTGGTGTTTGGATCAGTGTGCCTGTGTGCCTGGTGAAGTGAATGTGGACGTAGAATGTGAGGATGGGTGTGAGTGTAGAATGCACTAGAAGTGAATGTATGTATGTGAACAGAGAGGAGAGGAACGGCGAGACGTGCATGCACGTGCAGAAGAGAAGAAACGAGAATTAGGAGAGGGACTAGTCACTACTGGGGAAACTAACTTTGAGTAAAGAATAGCAACAAAACAGTAAAAGATGTAAAATTACCTACCATCCACTTCCAGAGCCTTAGCCAAAATAAAACAAAATTAGGCGACAAGGAAATGAGTACGTGGCAAATTAAATGGAAAATATGACAATACTGAAAAACATTGAACCCAACACTTGGAACTAAGAATATTAAAAACTTGTCAGGCAGGGAAGCGAGGATCAGTAAGCAACTTTCACCTAGTTAAGGGGGAAGGGAATTTCACAGAATTCAAAACATTGTCGATATTTCTCTGGGAAAATACTCTCTCCTAATGTGAGAGGGGGGGAAGTTATCTGTATTTATGCCAATTACTCACCAAGAAAGTATTGGACAGCTCATGTCATGTTGAGAAAGAAAAATTTAATAGTACTTAATTTAAATGAAAGGAGAATCTTAAACTCTAAAAAATTACGCTTTGTTAATTCTCTTCTTCCCCTTGCATGGAGGGAACAGACTGCCTGCAGATGAAGCTAAAAAATCTGCATGCATGCAGGCCGTCGGTTTGTTCTCTCCTTGCAAGGGCAAGAAGAGAATTAACAAAGTCTCTAATTTAACAGGGAATTACACCTTCAGGAAACATATATGTGAATGCTTCAGGACCTAGCACTGGCAATTCAATCAAATCAAATTACAGGCCTTTCAAGGTTTGTTACCTTCACCAAGCAAAGTCAAAACTTTTCTCAGTGTTGCAAGACTTGCTGGAAAAGATTGGTCTTTGATAACATTTCCAAGAACAGCAGGTACATATTGTAGCAGAATGCTGCCCGTTGTTCTCTCCTTGCAAGGGAAAGATTGTTATTGCTCCACCAGCAGATAAACGGTTTCATTTCTTCAAGGTTAAGCACTCAGATTCTATTTTTATACAGGGATAGAAAAGAGGCGGGACTCGAAGTTCAGTAAGAAATGGATTAACTAATACAACACTCCCTACAACAGGCGCAGGTAACGTTTTCAACTTACAGAAATTAGTTTAGAATACACCTGGTGGCTGATCCCTAGAATAAAATTAGGTACTTATTCAAGGAGTACATAATCACACTTTCGAAATGGAAGTGTAAACCTAACAGATGCTGGGGGATTGAGAAGGGTGTGTGGCCCAGCAGGTTCCCAGGGAGAAAGGATTCACTGTCTGGGAGACCAGCCAGCGGCAGAGGGAAGCCATTCGAAGCAGCCCGAGACAGGGAAAGCTCCCACCACGCTGCCTTTCCAAGGTTTTTCCCCGGAATAAAGTATTTCCTAGTCTCTTCATTCTGTATTTCATTTGCAAATTAAAAGCGGAGGGTTTCTGGGTGCAGCCGACTTTCTAGTTCAAAAAAGGACTTGGGGGGGGGGCTCGGTAGAGTTTTGCCTGCTCATCGGCTCTGCAAGGAAATGTTGGGTAAAATGTCACCTTCCTCAAGCTTAAGAAACCTAGTGTTTCCAAGCCAGATAAAGATAACAGGCCAGTTCTGCCCCAAACAGGTGGCAGCGAAGGAGTGAAGGGAAAGAAGACAAAATAGGTAACAGGTAAAGAAAGGAAACTGAAGAGGTAAGACCCCCCCCCCTTGACCTTGAGCAGGCAGCGCTAACGCAGGCCGTCCGGCGCTCCACGCGGCCTCACGAACGCCCCACGCGCCTGGAGCGCAGCTCAGGAGCGCCCCACGCGAGCGCAGGTGCCCCGCACGAATCGCCACTGAGACGGTGCCAAGCGACAGAGACAACACAAGACTTCACCTGAACACAGAGCCCAGGGCGAGCGAAAAGAACCTCAGGAACTTTCCGCCAGGCGCTTTCTTTAACCGACCAGTCTAAGCACCGCCCCTCCAGGGATGCTGAAAACAGGGGCCGAACTCAGGCTCGGAGACCTCACCGGGCGGATGCAGCGGGCCGGTGGTGTTCCCAAACAGGTCCGACAGAGGACTATATAAGTTCTCGCCTCGCCCCCTCGGTAACTTGTTTGCTTCCGTGGCAGCCATGTCCGGCCGCGGCAAGGGCGGGAAGGGCCTGGGCAAGGGCGGCGCCAAGCGCCACCGCAAGGTGCTGCGCGACAACATCCAGGGCATCACGAAGCCCGCCATCCGGCGGCTGGCCCGGCGCGGCGGCGTCAAGCGCATCTCCGGCCTCATCTACGAGGAGACGCGCGGGGTGCTCAAGGTGTTCCTGGAGAACGTGATCCGGGACGCCGTCACCTACACGGAGCACGCCAAGCGCAAGACGGTCACGGCCATGGACGTGGTCTACGCGCTCAAGCGCCAGGGCCGCACCCTCTACGGCTTCGGGGGCTGAGCGCCCGCCACCCGCCACGTCTGCAGACACAAAGGCCCTTCTCAGGGCCGCCACGCGATCTGTGAAGGAGCTGTAGGCGTCTGGGTTCGTTTCCCCGGGAGCCACACCGCCAGTCCCGTTGCCGCGGTTTACGAGTACCGCATCCTGAAACCCCACCCCCTGAAGCTGTCCGCATCTCCGCGCCCCCGGCCCCCGTGTGTACGTACTGCGGCTACATTCCAGCCCCTGCCGAGTCTACTGTTAAAGGCAACCCTGCGTTGAAAGTCGAGGCACTTTCCCTTCTGTTGTCCCAGATGCAGCTGGACGACGCTGGTAAGAAGCCGGGGCTCTCGCCCCTCGTCTGCGAGCTCTGGCCTGGGTCGCAGAGGCTGGACCCGCAAAGCGCGTCAGCCCCGTCCGTGTACCCAGTCCCGCCTTCTGTCCACACACTCTTACCAGGAATCCGATCCTGAGACTATTTAAGTAAGTGGGGTGACTTTCGGGTTCGCAGAACGCCATTATAAGGAGTTGTCATGGATCCTAGAGGCTTTCTGTGTACACGATACTAGACACCCGCGAGCGAGGCGGGAAGACGCTTCCGGTCCTCGGCGTCTTGAACAAAGTCAGTGCGGGAGGGGCGGGGGGGCGGGGCGGGCGCCTACTGTCCAATCAGGAGGCGAGGGGGCGCTATAAGTACTGGGGCCGCTCTCCTCCCCCCGGGCAGTGCCGAGTAGCCACTTCCACTGCCATGGCTCGCACGAAGCAGACGGCGCGCAAGTCGACGGGCGGCAAGGCCCCGCGCAAGCAGCTGGCCACCAAGGCGGCCCGCAAGAGCGCGCCGGCCACGGGCGGCGTCAAGAAGCCGCACCGCTACCGGCCCGGCACGGTGGCCCTGCGCGAGATCCGCCGCTACCAGAAGTCCACCGAGCTGCTCATCCGCAAGCTGCCGTTCCAGCGGCTGGTGCGCGAGATCGCGCAGGACTTCAAGACCGACCTGCGCTTCCAGAGCTCGGCCGTCATGGCGCTGCAGGAGGCGTGCGAGGCCTACCTCGTGGGGCTCTTCGAGGACACCAACCTGTGCGCCATCCACGCCAAGCGCGTCACCATCATGCCCAAGGACATCCAGCTGGCGCGCCGCATCCGCGGCGAGCGGGCCTAAAGCTTTCCCCATCATTGGTTCCAACCAACTCAAAGGCTCTTTTCAGAGCCCCTCCATTGTCACCAGGAAGGAGCTGTTAAGCTTCTGGAGAATATAGCGAAACCTCGGGAACAATTTGGGGAGGTGTTCAACAGCGCCTGTGCCACACTTGCTCTGTACCTCTTTGGAGAAGGTGGCGGTGTTCGGTGTGGTGAACCGGAAGGTTTCGCACTGGCTCACTCCTGCGTGCTTTGCACCAAGGAGCCGTCTCTGAATATCTTTAAGGCATCCAGCCATGTTAGAAATTAACTTTTCTGTGCTACGTGAGGTCATTGAGGGAGGCCTCCAAATTTAGGAAAGTCAAGTTCAGGTTTCTGGACTTTTGTGCAATTGGCCAAGACCCTTTTACTTTCGCCAAATGACCCCAGTATTTCTACATCAGAAATGTGCCTCTGCATCAATGACTCGGCACTGAACACGTATTCCTCTTAAGTGCTTAACGATTTAATGTAATGTTTGACAAGAATAGGCTCTTGGGTTTTGCCCATGTGATGGTGGAAAACAGGTAGACGATGAGCTACCTACTCTGACCTGTAGGCTGTCCTCGTTGCCAGAAGCTCTAACACAAGTATTCGCCCTCCTAGTAATATTGTGCTTCTCAGTATGAAGTTGTCTTGTGACAATTGTTTTCTTGTTTGTGTCTTTTTTAAAAGGAATCCGGTGGGATTCAATCTCCGATATTTTCAAGTTACTGGTTTCCACACAAAATGTGTTTCCTAACACCTTTGTCATGTCTCTTAACTTTGTCCAATTATTTTAAACTTCTGGTCCAAGTCTTTGCTTTTCACATATGACTATAATTGCTCTATTTGCTTCTTTTGATTTCAAATCCTAACTCCATGGGGTCGCAGTTTTTCTCCGGAGTGTTCTCAGACTGGTCGCCTATATGGGCCTTATATTTCTCCTATTTTGGAGTTTGCCCTTCCAGGGAGGCTTACTTCCCAGCCTTTTTGGAAGGGCTCCTAAAGCTTTTTGGAATATCTGGGAATTGGCAACAAAGACCATTCTGACCAATGGGGCCAGAATCCTTTTACAGAGGAGTTTAGGAATTCTGTAGTGACTTTTAGTTTTAGAGACTGCTTGATGCTACCTCCTCTTTACAAAACTCAAAGATTGTTTTCTTCCCATTCCTTTGAGCATTTTCCCATCATAATAGAGCTGAGGCCATATTCTGGTAGAGCTGTGGTCCAGGTTCAAACCTCAGAACTGCCAATTACTAGCCATATAACCTCTGGCAAATTACTCATCCTTTTCAATGGGTCTCAGTTCGTACAGCTGTAAAATGTGGCAAACAAAACAAAACTGTAGAGCTTCTTAGATCAGTTCCTGGCACTTAGTGCATGCTCGGTGAATGTTAGCCCTTAGTATTATGCCTTTCTCCCGCCCCTTAAGCATAGAGATTTCCCCCACCATAGATCTGAAAGTTTTGTGGTTGAAATAGTGGGAAATGCTTGCTCAAAACATTTTTCTTGGTAAGATCCTTTCTTTGGTTCTTGATGGGCATTGTTCTGAAAGGCAGGCTTGCAGCAATATCCCATAATCTGTGTCTATGCAGAGGAGTCCAAAACATAACAAAATGGCCAGATAACAAACATTCTGGGCTTTGCGGGCCAAATATGGTCTCTGGCATCTTTTTCCCCTAACACAATTAAAAAGTATAAAAAGCACTCTTAACTTGAGAGCCAGAGAAAACAGGACACTGTCCAGATTTGGCCTTAAGTTACCTATAGGCTCAACTCCAGGAGTTCTTTGGAGAGAAATATGTTGGCCAGTTTAAACTTCCCTACAGATTTTCACAGGGAAGAACCAGGTGAATGCTGATCGAAGCAGAGATTCTAATCATCATTAGATCTCCCTTATCATCCAGACAAGTCACAAAATCCCATCTATTTCCCACCCCACCCTCCTCCCAAATGAAGAGCAAATGTATCCACCCTCCATTCCGACCTCAAGGTTCCTGCCTCAGTTCTCTTGGATGCTAATGTATCCCTAAATTCTTCTGAACCTCTATACTTTGAAGTCCCTCAATTCCCAACCCACCCTTCTCATCACAGTCGATAGTCAACTATTTCTCTGAAATACAGGTCTGTCTTTGCTCAAAAACCCCACATTGGTGTCTCCTGGCTGCTTAAAAAGAGGGTATTCGTGACAGTGCAATTTATTAAATGTCGATGAAGATACGGGGTTTGAATGAGAGCATGGGGAAGAGCACCTGGGAAGCCAGACACAACCCATGTCATCCACAGTCTGTGCTTTTGAGGATTATTGGGACCCCTTGAATTTTTTCAGCAGGTTTGAACTTTTCCTAAAGCACCTTATCTGGGCAAAGCACTTTTTGTATCTATTACCATGGATTTGCCTAGTACTAAAGGGAGAAAGCATCTCGATCAAAACACACCCAATTTAAGTTTGAATTTGAATCCAGGTCATTGAATCCTGAAGGTGAAGCCATTTGCTTCCTCCCCTGCAAGGCAGACAGACGTCATTCTGGATACTGACCTTTTCCAAGCTGCAAAAGACATTCTCTAAAGATATTGGCACCTGCAAACTCCTAGGAAGCAGAACTGGTTTTGAAACCAGGGTCTATGCGGTGAATTTGGGGCTGCAGGCAGTCGCCTGCGCAGCCCCTGTGTTACTTGCTACAGTTAGAAACAACGTTTATGCCCAAGCCAAGGAAGCCTGGGACTTTTCTCTTGCAGAAAATCAAAGGCCGAACCTAGGGACAAAGCTTTTTTAAAAATGTCCACTTGATAGTTAGTAGAAACTTATTGCAACTTGCAACAAACTAGCACAATGCCTTAAACCCGGTGGATTCACGTGAAAAGCTGAAAAGATTTTTTGAAATATCTTTCCTGTGTTGCCTGTGACTCATGAAAACACAAACCAGCATGGGAACCTGGAGGCTGCTTTCTTCCTTTAGAGCTTCAAAGTGTCAAATTGTGTAGAATTATTTTCAGCATTTAATCAAATTTGGAGGGCTAACAAACACAGTTGGGAAGTCCAACCGCGAAGGGCGCTGCCTGAGGGCAGTGGATTGGACGCTCCACCAATCACAGAGCGGCACCGGCTTATATAAGCCCCTGGCCGGAGTCAGGCAGCATTGCAAGACTTGCTCTTTGGATTTTTGAGTCTCTCTTCCTCTAGCAGTTCCTGCCTTTGGCCATGTCGGAAACCGCGCCTGCTGAGACGGCTGCACCCGCGCCGGTGGAGAAGTCCCCTGCCAAGAAGAAGGCGACCAAGAAGGCCGCGGGCGGTGGCGCGGCGAAGCGCAAGGCGTCCGGGCCGCCCGTGTCCGAGCTCATCACCAAGGCGGTCGCAGCCTCCAAGGAGCGCAACGGCCTCTCGCTGGCCGCGCTCAAGAAGGCGCTGGCGGCCGCCGGCTACGACGTGGAGAAGAACAACAGCCGCATCAAGCTGGGCCTCAAGAGCCTGGTGAGCAAGGGCACCCTGGTGCAGACCAAGGGCACCGGCGCCTCGGGCTCCTTCAAGCTCAACAAGAAGGCGGCCTCCGGGGAGGCCAAGCCCAAAGCCAAGAAGGCGGGCGCGGCCAAGCCCAAGAAGCCATCCGGTGCCACCCCCAAGAAGCCGAAGAAGGCTGCGGCCGCGAAGAAGGCGGTGAAGAAGACTCCCAAGAAGGCCAAGAAGCCGGCAGCTGCCGGGGTCAAGAAGGTGGCCAAGAGCCCCAAGAAGGCCAAGGCCGCCGCCAAGCCCAAGAAGGCGGCTAAGAGCCCGGCCAAGCCCAAGGCTGTGAAGCCCAAGGCAGCCAAGCCCAAAGCCGCCAAGCCCAAGGCAGCTAAGCCTAAGGCTGCAAAGGCGAAGAAAGCGGCCCCGAAAAAGAAGTAGGAAGTTGGCCTTTGAAAAGGCTGCGCAACCCCAAAGGCTCTTTTCAGAGCCACCCAGAGATTTCTGAAAACAGCTGTGCGCTCAGTTTTAATTCTCCCGTATTCAGCATACTGCGGTCACGTTCTACCCACATCTGCTACGCTTGCCCTTGGCTGTGTTTCCTCCCAGATTAGTTACATACGTGGTTTTTACGTGGTTTCACATCAAATGTTAAGGCACGCAATTCAAACGGGCCCGCGCAATATTCCTATTGGTTAAGCAAAACCCCTTGCGTTATGTATGCGCTGCGTAGAATTTGGTCCAATTACATAAGCCTTAATGACAGCCCAGTTGACCACATGTAAGACTCCATGACTCTCCGGTTAAGGGGCCTAATTCAAACTGTCCCGGCTCTTTTCCAGAGATTTGTGGGTGGCTCTTAAAAGAGCCTTTGGTTTACATGGGAGTGCCGTTGTGGCAAACTACTCCACGATCTCACTTGCCCTTGGCCTTGTGGTGGCTCTCGGTCTTCTTGGGCAGCAGCACGGCCTGGATGTTGGGCAGGACGCCGCCCTGCGCGATGGTGACGCGGCCCAGCAGCTTGTTGAGCTCCTCGTCGTTGCGGATGGCCAGCTGCAGGTGGCGCGGGATGATGCGCGTCTTCTTGTTGTCGCGCGCCGCGTTGCCCGCCAGCTCCAGGATCTCGGCCGTCAGGTACTCGAGCACGGCCGCCAGGTACACGGGCGCGCCGGCCCCGACCCGCTCGGCGTAGTTGCCCTTGCGCAGCAGGCGGTGCACGCGGCCCACCGGGAACTGCAGCCCGGCTCTTGATGAGCGTGTCTTGGCCTTGGCGCGCGCCTTGCCGCCCTGCTTCCCGCGTCCCGACATGACTGTAGGAAACCGCCAAGAACTCGTAAGTGGGCAGGATTAGGCACGGTTTCACTTTTTATAGTCGTCACTCGGCGCCAAAATTAAGCTGCCCCGTTGGCTCACATTTCAAGTTTACTTAAGCCAATGGAATCCTGGCTTTTTAAATACACTTATTTTCATTGGATACAACTCATGATGCGGTCCTGAATGTATCACCAATTAGACACCTGATTTGTTGAATTCCCTTCTTCGGGCGAGAAGCGGTGGACGACGAGAACCCGAAGGCCCTCAGTTACTCCCCAGCCCCTCGGCGGCAGTGGGGCCGCCCCCGTCCTGCGCGGCCAGGCCGGCCGGGCCGAGGCAGCCGTGCGTAAAAAGGCACGTAGCGCCTCCCACTCGCTTTCTCTTATTCTCAGTCCCGTCTGCAGCGACTCTCGCCTGCGCCCGGCAGCCGTGCTCCGCGGAGGCGGCGATCAAGGCCCCGAAGGCGGCCAGACGCGCAGGCCCCGGAGGCCCCCAGCACGGTGCCAGCCGCCGTGGGGGTGGCGGGCGGGCCCCGAAGGCTTTCCGTCGGGGCCGTCCCCGCTTTCCAGAGAGCTCGTGCTCGTTGAGTCCCCGTCTAGAGGTAGGCAGGTGCAGTGTTCAGTCTGAAGGTTCAGTCCGCGCCTCCTCATTTGTGCAAAAGCTGCATGTTGCTTCTTTGTTTCCAGTAAGACCTAAGCTGTTTTGCTTTGTTTCGTTTCATTCTCACAAACATCAGACAGCCCAAAATAGCTTTAGTGTGAATATTTCACTTACCATCCAAGTTCTGACGCTGAGAATCACCTGTTCAGATAATTAGTGAGAAAACTAAATTATGGTGGAAAGGGGCGCCGGGGTGGCTCAGGCAGTTAAGCGACCGACTTCGGCTCAGGTCATGATCTCACGGTTTCGTGGGTTCGAGCCCCGCGTCGGGCTCTGTGCGGACAGCTCAGCCTGGAGCCTGTCTTCAGGTTCTGTGTCTGCCTCTTTCTCTGACCCTCTCCTGCTCACGGGCGCGCGCGCTCTCTCTCAAAAAATAAATAAAACATTTTTAAAAAGTTAAAAAATAAAAGAATAGCATTGTTTTTACATTTTGTAAATATCTTTAATTTCTGGATTAATAGAAGACGAAGACAGCTAGATTCCTGCATGGTATTTGTTTCTTCATTTAATCTATTGCAATGTGATTGTCAAGTGGAAATAAGAGTGGAATACTTAAGTTTTCAGGGTTATTACACAAATAAATGTAGCCTCACACACCCACCAAAAGAGTCTCAGAGACTCTCATGGGTCCTCAGACCATATTTTGAAAATCACTGACTTTAGGACAAAAAGACATTTCATTTATTTATTTAATAACCATCGTGTTGCTGGCAGCACTGGGGATGCCCTTGGCAGGAGCTGATACACACGGCAAGTTAAGAATGCCTTGTGAATCGGTCTGCATTCCAAATGATGACTGGTCATTAAAATGAAATTTGCTTTTCTGAAATGAAATTTCAGCTCTTTTTTGAGCCTTGACTATAACATTTTCTTTCTTTTTTTTTTCTAACTAGGCTACACGCCCAATGCGTGTGACAGATTGAGTCACAAGCTGTACCAACTGAGCGAGCCAGGTGCCCTTGTATAATTTTAATTCTCAAACTCTCAAACTATTTAAACATGGTTCTGTCATACTTTCTTGCCTACCCTCTTTTTACTGCTACTGTTAGTCCCAATGTGTAACATCATCCTTACGTTCAGTCAGTAATGTCTTCGACCCATTAACTCACAACTTGTAATCAGTACCCCTTCAAGGACTTTTGGTTCATGAAGAGAGACCAAAATCTCCATTCTAGGGCTTCTGGTAGGTGGGTAGCTCTCTGTGATCATGGGTACACCTGCCTAACTCTGGAAGCTGAAGAACACTTTGGTGCCAGACGCTGTTTTCAAAGGCCAAGTGCCTATTACACTTTGCTCTGACAGTCCTCTATCTTGGCCCCAAATAATTTTTTTTAATCTAGCTCACTTTACTTTCTGAGCTAATAGCTTCATTCGTGTCTGCCAATATAAGACATCACCTTATCAAAGTCAATTTACCAGATCTGGGTGGGTTCTCAATTTAAATAATAAGTTTTAAGAAACAATATAATTAAAAATTTCAGAAAGCACACAATGCACTCTTATCCAGGTATGGATTAAAAGAATACTCATGGAGCGCCTGGGTGGCTCAGTTGGTTAAGTGTCTAACTTTGGCTCAGGTCATGATCTCACAGTCTACAGGTTTGAGCCCAGCATTGGGCCCTGCGCTGACAGCTCAGAGCCTGGAGCTGCTTCAGATTCTGTGTGTGTGTGTGTGTGTGTATGTGTGTGTGTGTGTGGCTTGTGCTCTCTCTCTCACTCTCAGAAATAAACAAACATAAAAAAGTCCTCATAATACATTAGTAATTTTATTATTCCACTTTGAGCTTCTGGAAGAACTAATAGTCTACAGAATCCACACGAGGGCGCTCTCAGTGTGCCCTCTTTTTGCGTGTGTACCTCTAAATGGTTCTCCCAGAATTCATCTGTACACCGCTTATTTCAAAAGAATATGGAATTTTAATTTTTCTAACACTCTTACCCCAAGAGAGTACTAAAAGAATAAGTGGTAATGGACTGTCCAGTTTCTGATTATTCCATTAATTCCACTAAGTACAATAAAAAGAAAAACGCATAAAAATATATGTATAATGCTACCCCTCAAATTTGAGTGGAAGAATTTTATATAATTCCATATTCTCAAAATAGTTTCACAAGAGCCAATTGGTAAAAAACGCTAGTATATTTGGATTATACCATGTTTTATGTGCAAGTCCATATTCATATCATATGTACATGTTTCTAATATTAATTGGGGCATACTTCACACTTGTTTTTTTGTACACAAATGCAAGGACTTTCGAAAGTGATCGTTATTGAACATTTTTGTGTAACACTTGAATATTTGCATGAAAAATCCATGTCTGTATTCTCAATTTTATGTTTGGTATTATTCTCACAATTAAAGCAGATGTGATATAAAAAGTCATTTTATGTTTTTAATGTTTCTTTATTTTGAGAGAGAAAGAGTGCATACATGTACACATGAGTGGGGGAGGAGCAGAGAGACAGACAGACAGACAATCCCAAGTAGGCTCCATGCTGAGCATAGAACCCTACACAGGGCCGCATCTCACAAACCATGAGATCATGATCTGAGCCCAAATCAAGAGTCAGACACTTAACCAACTGAGCCACCCAGATGCCCCAAAAGTCATTTAAAAAAAAATTTAAAAACCCTTCATGTATTAGTGGATATTTTTCTTCATTCTAAGCATCTCAGGAAATCTGGGAATTATTTTGTGTCCACGTTTTGTTATAACAGTGCATTAAACTTTTTCTTTTTAAAGTCACCTCTAGTATAAAAATTCAGACATTTGAAATTTTAAATCATCTAGCAAAAATGTTATAATATGGTTTCCAAAAAGACGTCTGAAGCTATACAACTGAGTCTCAGGCAAAGGTTCAGACTAGTTTCTCCTTTCGTCCGTCTCTAGACCATTGCTTTTGAGAGATTTCCCATGGCTGGCCAGTCATTTATTTCCTTGCATATTGTAAATTAAGCACATTAAGTTATCTATATGTTTTCATAGGCACTTTGAACAGATGGGAAATTTTGCCTCAAAGGATCGACTGGCAGAATGCTATATTTTTCTGTCCTTGAGTGACAAGCTTATAAATATATAAGAAATATGTAAACAGCTCTGTTACTTTATCTTTGACTTTTTGCTTAAAACAATTTTTTAACATTTATGTTTATTTTTGAGACAGAAAGAGAGAGACAGAGACCAAGGGGGGAGGGGCAGAGAGAGAAGGAGACACAGAATCCAAAGTGGGCTCCAGGCTCTGGCCTGTCCGCACAGAGCCTGATGCAGGGCCCGAACCCACAAACTGGGAGATCGCGACCTGAGCCGAAGTTGGACACTCAACCGACCGAGCCACCCAGGTGCCCCTTGAAGTCCATAGTTTACAATAAGTTCACTCTCACTGGATAATGGTGTGTATCCATCATTATGGCATCACAGAGTGTTTTCACTGCCATAAAAATCCCTGTGCCCCATGTATTCATCCCTCCCTCCCTCCCTTCAACCCCTGGAAACCAATGATCTCTTTACTATCTTTGTAATTTTGTCTTTTCCAGAATGCTGTGTGACTTCTTTCACTTAGTAACATGCATTTAAGATTCCTCCATGTTTTTTCATGGCTCCACAGCTCATTTCCTTTTAGCACTGAACGACAGCATTGTCTGGATATACTGGTTTATTTCTCCATTCACTTACCAAAGGACATCTTGGTTACCTCCAAGTTTTGACAGTTTTCTGAATAAAGCTAATATATACATCTGAGTGCAAGTCTTGTGTGGACATAAGTTTTCAACTCCTTTGGGTAGTAGATCACCAAAGAAAATGATTGCAAGATTATATGGAAAGAGTATATATAGTTTTGTAAGAATTGACCAAACTCGCTTCCAGGTTGGAAGACACTTTTCCATTTTGCATTCCCACGAGGAGTGAATGAGGATTCATCACTCGCTCTACAACCTCGCCAGCATTTGGTGATTTGAGTAGTTCCAGATTTTGATCTTTCTAAATGGTATGTGGTGATGTTATCTTTGCCTTTGATTTTTTAAAGTTTTTACTTATTTATTTAGAGCGTATAAATGGGGGAGGGGCAGAGAGAGAGGTAGAGAGAGAATCCCAAGCAAGCTCTGGGGTATCAGCAGAGTCCAACTCGGGGCTCGAACTCATAAACCATGAGGGCATGACCAGAACTGAAACCAAGAGTCGGACGCTCAAGCAATTGAACCACCTGGGTACCCTTAATTTTTGTTTTTTATAGTGATGGTAATCTATAATGTTACTTCATTGTTATTTTTTTAACTTTTAAATTTTTTTAAATGTTTTATTTATTTCTGAGAGAGAGAGAGAGAGAGACAGCATGAGCAGGGGAGGGTCAGAGATAGAGGGAAACACAGAATTGGAAGCAGGCTCCGGGCTCTGAGCTAGCTGTCAGCACAGAGCCCGATGTGGGGGCTCAAACCCACTAACCCTGAGATCATGACCTGGGCAGAAGTCAGAGGCTTAACCGACTGAGCCTCCCAGGCCGCCCCATTGTTATTTATTTTTAAATAAATAACCAACTGAACCACTCAGGCTCCCCTCAGATTTTTTTTTTTTTAAGTCTCTGCTTGGGATGGATTCTCTCTCTCACTCTCTGCCTCTCCCCTGCTCGCATGCTCTCTCTCAAAATAAGTAAATAAACTGAAAAACAAAACCATGATCACTGTCCTAAAGGACATAGACCACGATATACCACCACTGAAGGAGTTTATACATGATATATCTGATTCTCCAATCACGATCTGGTGGGCTGCGATCTCCGGGAGATGGAACAGAACAGGCAAATTCGTCAAAGCGAACACCAACATTCAGGGCTCAAGCCACATGGTCCCAAGTGTAACTAGCCTGGATTCATTTGTGCGGAAAGAGAAACATTGTTCTGCAAAGAGTTATTAACGAGGCAAGTGATGTTTTAGAGAGAATCTCTCTGGCGGAAGTGTGCGGAGGAGAAGACGGGAGTGAAGAGTCAGATGCTCAGCCGACTGAGCCACCAGGCGCCCCTGATGATGTTTTTTTGGAATCACCTGTTTCTCCAAGGACGCACTCAATAACGATTGACCCCCTTCCTCCCAAGGGGGACCCTGTGCCCCCCAAGACACACACAGTTATTCTCATTTCTTTCCTTCGAGGATCGTACGTGTCAGTGAAGAGGCCAAGAAAACAGCTCCGAGGTTTGGTCCCAGCAGCGCGGCTTCCGAGCGGGTCCTCGCGCCGCAAGGGGAGGCCTTCAGCGTCCCCGACGGACAACGGAGGGCGCTCGCCACCCGCCGGGCGCAGCTGGGGGCCGGAGGGAGGCTTCTGAGGCCCCGCAGGGAGGTGGCTGCTGCAAAGGCCCGCGCGGGGCGTGCTGTGGGGAGTCCATTCCCTCCGGATCGCCAAGCCTCTGCGTTTCAAGGAGAGTTGAGTCCCGTTATGTTCTTAAGGTCGAGAGTAATAGAGGAGCTCGGGTATCACGGTGGACCCCGCGCAGGCGGACCCCGCCGGTATTTCAATGTCCCGCTTGCTATTTCTCTTCGGGCTGAAACCCAATGTCAAAGTCAACGTCAGTGCTGCTCCCTTCGCTCTGAGCCGGGGGGCTGGCGCGCCCGCGGACACAAAGCTGCCCTGAGCGGTAGCAGCTGGACACGATTTCGGGGTTACTGACCCTTTGCCTCTAACAGCTGTCCGCCTCCTCCCGTGTCCGTTCGGCTGGACACGTGGACCGACTGGCTTCCCCAGGGCGGAGTCTCTCCACGCGCTCTCCACCGGATGTGTCAGCCCTGCCGACTGTTTCTGGGGGTACCCGGCACTGTCGGAAGACCCCCAGCTGCTCTCACCTTTAACATTTCCATTCTGTAGCCTCTGCCATGAGAGTCACCAGTGTCCGCATTCCCGCAGAGCAGCGATGGCCCTGAGGGAGCCTGCGAACAAGGAGGCAAGCTGGTTTTAGGCGTCCCAGTGACTGGGGGGAGGCGCAGGCCGGACACAAGGAGAGGACGGGCTGCTAGATGTCCCATGAAGACCTGAGTCAGGTACACGGGACTTCCAAGTGTCTGTAGGTCAATCTGAAGGTGCAGGACCTGTGAGTCAAACCTAGAACCAGGAAGCTCGAGGTCTTCACCCGCATGTGTTTGTGTGTATTTCGGGGGGCGCTGAAGTTTCCAAGAAATGGAGATTGTGTTTTGTTCCTTTCACATGCACGTGTCCCCCAAGAATTATTGGTGTTTGCAAAAACAAAAGTCACATCACTGAGAGTACGTCTCTTTTCGGTGTTTAAACACCTGAGTCAACCTACATACAAGGTCTGTGGCTCCAGGATGATTCTGCACAAAAGTTCTGTGAGGACCACCTGTGTGTCAACCTGACTGGGCCGTGTGTTACCCAGATACTCAATCAGACATTATTCTGGGTGTTTCTGTCGGAGGGATTTTGGATGACAGTGATGTTTAAATTGGTAGACTTAAGGGACGCCTGGGTGGCTCAGTAGGTTAAGTGTTTCGGCTCAAGTCATGATCTCTCAGTTCATGAGCTCAAGCCCCGTGTTGGGCTCTGTGCTGACAGCTCAGAGCCTAGAACCTGCTTCAGATTGTGTCTCCCTCTCTCTCTGCCCCTTCCCCGCTCAGTCTCTGTCCGTCTCTCTCTCAAAAATGATAATAAAACATTAGAAACATTAAAAATAAATTGGTGGACTTACTCTGTAAAACAGATTGTTCTCCCTACTGTGGGTGGGCCTTGTTCAATCAGTTGAAATCAGGGATGGAATGAAAGGGCTGTCCCGACCTTGAATAAGAATTACTCGTCTGGCTGCTTTTGAGCTGGGATGTTGGCTTCCTCCTGCCTTTGGACTCGGACTGAACCATGGGCTCTGCCTGGGTGTCAAACCTGCTGGTCCTCAGGCCGGAACCGCATGGGCTCCCTGGGTCTCCCAGTTCCTGACTCGCCCTGCGGATCTCTCCCTTGTCAGCCTCCCCACCCACACCAGCCGGTTCCTTATAAGAAATGTCATGATACATATACACATCCATCCTATAGGTTTTACTTCTCACTGGTACACGTGCAAATACCCACCTACTTCCCTATGTGTTTTTGTGTAGGACGCAAGCATTTATGTTGAAGTCATTTCCTTTATAGTTGAAATAACTGTCTCATTTCATTTTACATAATAGTTATCGTGTTTTTGTGACCTTTAGAAATTATGCATGCATTTTAGTATCATTACCTAGGAATTTAACTTTTAGGCTGGAAATAGGTGCCACTAAAAATATTAGATATGAAAGGGGCACCTGGGTTATAAGAGTCACTGCTTTTCATAAATTAACTCCAAGAAATGTAACCTGGTTATCAAGCTACACAAGCACAGGCCTCACAGCATGTGAGCCATAAGCACAGCTCACGACCCCTTCTGCCCCTCCCCCGGCTGCAGCAGCCCTGGCCTGACATGTAGAGGTCCTCCCCAGGGGCGCCTGGCTGGCTCAGTCCATTCAGTGTCCGACTTTGGCTCAGGTCATGATCTCATGGTTTGTGAGTTCAAGCCCTGTATGGAGCTCTCTGCTCTCAACACAGAGCCTGCTTCACATCTTCTGTCCCCCTCTCTTTCTTTCTTTTAAGTTTGTTTAATGTTTACTTATTTATTTGGAGAGAGAGAGAGAGAGCGAGCACGAGCAGGATAGGAGCAGAAGGAGAGGAAGACAGAAACCCAAGCAGGCTCCATGCTGTCAGCACGGAGCAGGATGTGGGGCTCAGACTCATGACTGTGAGATCATGACCTGAGCTGAAATCAAGAGTCAGGTGCTTAACGGACAAAGCCACCCAGGCGCCCCTGCCCCCCTCTCTTTCTGCCTTGCTCGCACTTTCTCAAAAACAAAACATTTATATATATAGGGTTCTCCCCAAATGAATATCCTTGGGATTCCAGTGTTCCCTTACAGCTTTTCATAATTTCTCCCTCAAAATGATGTAAGCACAGCCCTTTGGCTGAGGCCCTTATTTTCTTCTTCCTTCTATTGGTGGAATTTTGCACACCTGCAGGGGTGGGGTCCTCGTCCCGAAGCCCATGTCGCATCGTCCCCAGCACTGGGCTTTGCACCTGTCAGGCCCTCGATCCACTCGTGTTAGGCTGAAGCAGTTCTAGTCGGGACCTGGGAATACTTACATGTATGTTAAACTCTATAGGAGGTGAGAGAAAGTTCTTTTCCTTACTCACGTCTGGAAAATAATTTTCTTGTGCGTTTTGTTAATTTGTTTTTTAATGCCGCATGTCTGCTTTACTCATGAAACCTCCCGATAGGCTGATTAAGTCACAACATCAGAAAAGGTGAGCCTCTGAAACAGAAGCTAAATCGAAGTTAAAAGCAGTTAGGAAGCGGCCGGGGCTCCCGGGGGCTCAGTCGGTTGAGTGTCTGATTTGGTTTCGGCTCAGGTCAGGATCTCACTGTTCCAGCCTTGAGTTGGGCTCCGAGATGTCAGTGCGGAGCCTGCTTGGGATTCTCTCTCTCTGCCCCTTCCCCACTTGCATGCTCTTTCTCTCTCAAAGTAAATAAACAAACTTAAAAAAACAAATGAACCTTAAAAGAAAAGGTATTAGGAAGCAGATAGACTAGTCATCTTCAGAAATAATAAACCTCTGAGGTGGCCTGGACAGTTGTGGGTGATGAGATGCAGGTGTTTTCCACACCTAGGAATCTACCATGTACCTTCAGGTAAGTTGTGCCCAAATTAATGTCATGTGCCCAATACATGTCCTAACTGAAGGCTGGGAAACTGCATGAAATCTAGAAAGCAGTAAAAAAATTTTTTTTTTTAATTTTTAAAAATTTGAACAAAGGGGTTAAGCTTTGGTCAGGACACTTTGTTCAACGTGGAAGGAAGTTTTCAGTGAGGAAAACGTGAATTTCTCTGGCTTGGACAAAGGTCATTTGTAGGTCATGTAACTTGGGAAAAAGCCTCTCCTTTAGGATAAGATTCTCTTATCTGTTTTTATGTTCCAATCTGTTCCTTTGTGTTCTAAAAATTGTTCTTTAGGGAAAAAATGAAAAAACTATTATTTGGGGCACATATGTGGATTACTGAAGGTACCAGCCAGTCTGATAGAAGACAGTGAAGTGACATTCGGGTTTGGATGAGCTCAAGTCAATTTCCCAAGACTGATCAGCGATGCCTTAAATTAATCAAGATACTTCAAAAACAACGGGTTAGATGCCTGGATCACCAAAGTGCAAATAACCCACAAAATCTAGCATTGAGTTCTCTCATTATTTTTCTCTCCTTTCAGGAATTTAAACTTTCTAAATCCTGGAGTGTAATGGACCCGATGTGTGAACCGTGTATCGAGGGACCACGGATTCCTTCCGCGTGCCCTGTCCGCTCTGCAAATCTCAGAACCCCTCCCCGTAGTCTTCAAAACACCTTTCCTGCTGACAGTTGCCTGTACCTACACCTGTGTCCGTATCTATGTCATCCACACCTGCTCCACACACATTCTCCAGGCCCAAGGTGCACGTGCCGAGCTACCTTAGTCCCTCTAAATCCTCTCGTCTTCCCTACCCTGGGTTTTATCTGCTGATTCCCTCATTCTTATAAAACACAGAAATACCAGAATTTACTGCCAATTTTCTGCATTAATGGGCTAATGGACAGGATCAAAGGCATATGTGGTCTGAAAAGTAGTGATTAAAATAACCAACTGTATGGTAAATTTACTGTCGCCAACTATCTTTTTGTTTCTTTTTTTTTCATGTTTACTTATTTTTGAGACTGACAGAGTGTGAGTGGGGGAAGGGCAGAGAGAGAGACGCACACAGAATCTGAAGCCCAGCGTAGGGCTGAAACCCATGAACCACGAGATCATGACCTGAGCCAAAGTCGGACGCTTAACCAACTGAGCCACCCAGGCGCCCCTGTCATGAAGTATCTTGAAGGAGGATGGAAGGAGAAATGATACATAAAGTTCAAAGGTACTTCTTTCCTGACAGAGCAAAGGAAGGAACATACACATATACATATACACGAATACGTCAAACATGTACAAAATACGCACACACGCACACACACATGTACACACCGTACACAGGTCGATCAGAGAGCTGTCCCAAAGGTTTTGAGAAGCTGAGTAAACAGGAAGCTTACAAGAGCTGCAGGTGGGTTCTGACTGAACTGTAGCCCACATCCTGAGTGTCCTCAATTCATGGGCCTCTTCAGTGGCCTGTCAGTCCTTTTCTTCTACTCCCTCAAAGAAAGTAATTCTAGCTACAGAAACACTGTACCGTGTGAAATTCTCATTTATAGGATTTCCTCTAGGACACACGAGATGATGCTTGGACCTTGCTTTTTATGCAAGGTTCTTGCCCTACTGTATTTTTCAGTACAGTACTTGCTACAGAAAGGGAGTATGTGTAACATACATCTTAAGTGTGAAACAAGCTGTACCAAACACGCACGATGGAACTTCTCTCACTAAATCTGGAATGTTGGTAATGACTTACCTCCCTCAGTCACTGAGGTGTGCACTTCCTGATAGTTAAAAACTTGTTCATGAAGCTCGTAAAGTTTTTTGAATCCTACACTTACCTGTGCTTCTATATCTGCTTAAATATTAATTTATTTTTAAGTGTTATAAAGCGGAATCATATAGGAACCTTTTGAGATTTAGATTTCTGAAATTCAAGAGACACTACCGTGTATTTTCATTTTTTCTGGCGATGTGGACTCCTAGTGGGTGAATGTGCCTCAATATATTCTTTTTGTCATTTTGGCCATGAATATGTAGTCGCATCTAGAATTTTACTATCAAGAATAGAGCTCGCTGGGGCCCCTGGGTGGCTCAGTCAGTTAAGTGTCCGACTTCAGCTCAGGTCATGATCTCACGGTTTGTGGGTTCGAGCCCCGCGTCGGGCTCTGTGCTGACAGCTCGGAGCCTGGAGCCTGGAGCCTGCTTCGGATTCTGTGTCTCCCTCTCTCTCTGCCCCTCCCCTTCTTGTGCTCCGTCTCTCAAAAATAAATAAACATTAAAACATTAATTGTAAATATGCCATTCCTAAGGGCTTAAAGCCGAGAAAAGGATTTAGACTCCCTGAATAGGGGGTGAAGGAACAGGGCTTCTCTGAGTTTTCCCATCTTTTTTTCAAACGTCTTCCCACAGGAACATAAAATGCAAGGCGCACGGAGAAAGAAAACATGGAATAGATTCTCCGACAGGAAAGGCAGGAAACAGAACCCAGTCCCTCCCCTAAAGAGGAATTTCAACCAGAGAAACAAGGGAGTCAGTCAAGTGGCAGTTTCTCCCGCCAAACCACACTGCCCAGATTCACCGCAGAGGACAGACTCACAGAGGGCAGCCGGCGGTTAAGTTCAAACTGCGCGCGCTGCGCCCTGGTTGGCTCCCCTGCCCGACGTGGCCACCGAGGAGCGGGATCTTCCATTTGCTTCCGCGGCCTTTCTAACTTGGCGGGTGGCGATCCCAAACTCGGCGGAGCAGAACCGGCCCCATCCCGAAAAGAAACATGAAGGAATAAAAGGATGTGTGCGCTTCTCAGAGCGTCCTCGGGGTGCACCTGAGAACTAAGGACTGAGGGATCGAGGCTTTGTGACAATGGAACCTCCTGCCAGGCTGACGTGTTCAAAGGTGACCAGGTTTTGTTCTGGAGACAAAGGGTGCTTACTTTCCCTAGGTTTGTCTAATCACCAACGCGATCCTTCCTTACAGAAACCCACAGAAATACGTCTCCTGCGTTATTTCAACTTGCCATGCTCTATAGTTAATTTCTCGCGAGATGGAAACATGGATTCAGATACGGTTCCTTTAAAGAAAACAAAGGCCCCATGTAGGTAAGTGCCAGTTCCCTTTAGAAGACTGAGTGGCTCTGAAAAGAGCCTTTGGGGTGTGGGCCGAGCCTTACCGATTGCTCTGCAGCCGGCGGGCTCACTTGGCGCTGGTGTACTTGGTGACGGCCTTGGTGCCCTCGGACACGGCGTGCTTGGCCAGCTCGCCGGGCAGCAGCAGGCGCACGGCCGTCTGGATCTCCCGGGACGTGATGGTCGAGCGCTTGTTGTAATGCGCCAGGCGCGACGCCTCGCCCGCGATGCGCTCGAAGATGTCGTTGACGAACGAGTTCATGATGCCCATGGCCTTGGACGAGATGCCCGTGTCGGGGTGCACCTGCTTCAGCACCTTGTACACGTACACCGAGTAGCTCTCCTTGCGGCTGCGCTTGCGCTTCTTGCCGTCCTTCTTCTGCGCCTTGGTCACCGCCTTCTTGGAGCCCTTCTTCGGGGCCGGAGCGGACTTGGCTGGTTCAGGCATGGCCTCTCTAGGACTTGAAAACAGGAAGAATGGGTAGGAGGCTCTAAGTGTCCTCTTTATCCACAGCTTCTTAAACAAAGGAGGCAGTGAACGAAATCCTGTAGCTAATTGGCGACTTCTGCAAACGTCACATATTAATTTCCTTCAATCAATGTAACTGTATTTGGAAACCAGCATCCCATTGGTTAAAGCGTAATTGTTATTTTAGCCAATGGGACAATTTTCTTTTTGCGCCCATTAGAGACTATAAATAGGGTAGCTTTTGCTGAGGCCATTCTGACCCTGCCCAGGTCTTTGCCCTTTTCTCTGTCATGTCCGGACGCGGGAAGCAGGGCGGCAAGGCGCGCGCCAAGGCCAAGACGCGCTCGTCGCGGGCCGGGCTGCAGTTCCCGGTGGGCCGCGTGCACCGCCTGCTGCGCAAGGGCAACTACGCCGAGCGGGTCGGGGCCGGCGCGCCCGTGTACCTGGCGGCCGTGCTCGAGTACCTGACGGCCGAGATCCTGGAGCTGGCGGGCAACGCGGCGCGCGACAACAAGAAGACGCGCATCATCCCGCGCCACCTGCAGCTGGCCATCCGCAACGACGAGGAGCTCAACAAGCTGCTGGGCCGCGTCACCATCGCGCAGGGCGGCGTCCTGCCCAACATCCAGGCCGTGCTGCTGCCCAAGAAGACCGAGAGCCACCACAAGGCCAAGGGCAAGTAGAAATATGGCCTAGCTTGCAGCTCAAACCTGTCCAAACCAAAAGGCTCTTTTTAGAGCCACCCACTTAATCAAGAAAAAGAGCTGTGCCTTCATGTTCCATTGGCATAGCAGGTGTTGAATAGTGACAACCCTGTAAAAAGAATAAAGACGCTTGGCTAAGGTATTTATAGATCTGTCAATTGACCCAGGATTCCTTGACTTAAGTCACCTTGCCAGAAGAACAGCACCTTTGCTTTAAGGAGCCCATGAGAGCAAAACCTATTCCACAGGTTCGAATATCCATGTGGAACCCAAACTTAGCATCTTATGACTGGCTTGTCCTCTCTTCTAATTCAGTTGAATCTTCCTGAATGGGATTCCGCCCCTCCTGAATGGTCCTATGTTAGTTCTGCAGAGTGGTAGACTTCTTGTTCCAAGTAGCTTCAGGCAAAGGATGCATTTCATAATTATACCCACAGATGAAGTCAAGACCGTATGGAATTACATCCAGGAGACCATGCATCCTAGCAACAAGCTTGAGATGTGGACGCTGGAAGTCAGATATTTAACCTATTGGCACCCAGTGCATCCTAATGCTGCCTATTCTGGCTGCTCTCGGCCACGAGCACACCCTCTTTGCCATGGCACCAGCTAGGGAGCATCTTCGATTCCTCTCCTATGTACACATCAGCTCATGCTTACTTTTTCCTCACAAATATGTTTTAATAAAATTAAGTTTCTAGGCCATTTCTAGTCTGTGCGCATAAATTTATTTCCTGGGTCTCTTGTAGGATTTGTATGTCCTGGTGTGAAATCTGAACTGTAGTCACAGGAAAGACCCCCTAGAATCGGTGACCACAGCAATCCCAGATAAGGGGTAAATGTTACCTTTAAATACGTTTCTTTCGGACTTCCGATTATATGATGTCAGAGCACCTGTGGGTGCTCCCTCTCTCTTAAAGAGTCACCTGCATTAATTGAACTTGTAAATTTTAAACACCTATTTCTCTTAGCATTAGAAATGACAAGTAGAATAAGTAATACAGCTCCAAGGAAGGCCTATGAGTTTTTTCCACTTTTAATAATAAAATATGCTGTTTTAATTATTGACGTGAATTTTGTGACAGGGTTAAGAACAAATCTAGCACAAGCCACTTTGACCTGTGGATTATTTTGACCTGAGGACAATTCAGCCCAAAATACTCAGGGAGAGCTCCCCTTCTACTGCCTACAGGATTGTGGCTCTGTCTGGTCCTGGGAGAGAACTATCACCAGAAGTAACTATGAAGTGTGAGCTAGGTGTGGCGAGCTCAGGGGAGCTCGGGGCGCCCCTTCAGATTTCTCCCTGTGTCTCCTTGTCTCCACAATGCCTGGCTACGTTTGTTTAGTGAACATTTCCTCTCCCCATCTTCCCATGAACTGTCTTCCCTTTGAAGCCCAGACCTCTGCCCTCTTACCCAGAGAATTCAAGTCTCAACTGCCTGAGTGTTGGAGAGGCTCTCCTGTCTTAATGAGACTCCTGTCTCGTACAAAAGTAAACGTTTTTGTCTTGTTAATCTGTCCAATGTCGATTTAATTGTTAGACCAGCCAAAGAACCTAGATGGAAAGAAAAGACAAGTTTTTTCCACCCTTTACAGATGAAATTACTAGTAATGGCTTTCTTGCATTGTCTGGATTTCTCACAAGAACCTCTACATTGTTAAATTGTTACTAAAATTATGTTATTGGTGTGGTTTTGATTTATCAAACCAATGGGCCCATAATCAAATAATTGACAAATAAATACACATTTTTGTTTTAAGTAAAATATATTCAAGTGTGATACATTATTGCTTATAATTCCATGTTAACTGAATTTTTTTGCTCCAACGTCATTGGATAAAGTGCATACTATTGATAAGGGAGCATGAAGCAGGCTGAAGGGCAAAAGACAGGCTCCTCACCCCACTCCTCACCGCATGTGGGAGCTGTGTGATATTTCTCTGACATTCCTGCCCACCCAAGAATGAAGGAAAGGGATGTAAGTGCTTGCCATGGTGATGTGGGAAACTAATCCAAGTGAAAAATTTAATTCCCTTACTGCCTGCAGCCACTGACAAGTGCTTGAAACCCCCAGAGTGACCTCCCTCTGGGAGCTCAGATGCCTAGATGATGACAATTTGCTGGGGGGCAAAAGAGAACCTCAGCCTAACATTATCCCAACCTCGAGGAACCTGTAAATCAACTTCCTTTATCTCAACTGCCCCAGGATCCATGCTGGTTATGCTCCTCCAAGGCTGTGGTCCCTGATATACATCTAAAGGGTCTTGTGACTGAGGCTTTATTAAATGATAATAAATGGTCTTTCCCTGGCAACACCAGCCCCCCAAGGTCCTGGAAACCTTGCTTCCAAAATTCCTTAGAGACTTTATCCCTGACCCCCTGCCAAGCTGAGGGTATGTATTGAGTTACCTGTCAGGACCCCAGTGCGGGTCTTCCTGCCCACGGGTCCTGTCCTGGTGCTTTAATAAAATCACCTTTTTGCACCAAAGATGTCTTCAAGAATTCTTTCTTGGCCATCGGCTCCAGACCACAAGAACCCCCCATCACCTCAAAACTTCATCACTATTATTATTTACATAATCGGAAAAAAATTAAAAACTTTTTTAAATGGAGAGAACAAAACTTTTAAAAATCTTGATAAAATAATTCAGATATTTGTAATTGCAATCAGATCCAGAAGAACTAATGAGAACTTCATAATTTATACTGTAGTCATTTTCATAGGACGTAAAATTCAATTTTAGTGGCAGAATATTTATGGAACCTTTTTAAAAGCAATTGAAGTATAGTTGACACGGAGGAAAGCAGGATTGAAACTTTCTTTCTGGCGGTGGTCTTCCCATTAATGTCTCTCTCTGCAGAATCCATTCAAGCACCAAATAGCGTCTTCCCATACTGATTTCTCATGTATCTCACCCATCAGTTTACTAAGTCCCTTAGAGTGGAGACTCGGCTTTATTCGTATTTGTGTCTTCCTAGGCACAAAGCACACAATGACAACCCCATAAAATATGTTCAATAAATTATGTTGATTTTATAATAATAAAAATCCTTACAACATAGGCACGTGGTATATAATAAAAGCAAAAATAGAGGAGGAAAGGCAAATAAGAACGAGATCCATGGAGGAACTTGAGTGAATCTAGTGGAGACAGTGCAAAGATGAGACAAGTCCAAGGAGTCAAGATCAGTTGGAAAGATATAAGTTGCCTTTTTCTATTCATGATATTACTTTACCTGGAAAAAGGCTGTGCTTGATGGCCTTCTGCCTCTCGCCACCTCCCCCAATCTACCAACAATCTCACATTTAAATAAATGCTACTGACGTCGATGATTACGCGTTGTTACCTGGTGGAATAATGAAACAGCTCCATGGCCGGCGCGCCAGCGGGTTGGAGGAGGAAGGCCAGGGTGCTGGCCAGAGTGCTGGCTGAGAAGCGAGCACCAAGGGCAGAGATTAGGGTTCCGCCAACCAGTACAAACTTCTGAGGCTCTCAGTGACTTCCCCTAAGGTTGCTTTTGTGTGGTTTTTATAATCTCTTGGCTTCCAGATTTTTATATCTGCTTACTGTTGAAGTTGTCTATATTGTGTTATGCCCAGATCGCGATCTCCCCAAAATCCCAAGACCACCAAGGAGTCCAAGACACGTTTGCAAAAGCAAAGGGCTTTCTTACGGGCTTAAGCTCGGGCTCACAGACTTCACCAGCGCTGTGGATCCGTGCTGAGAGCCCCGAACAAGGGCAGAGTAGGGTTTTTATGGGGTTTGTGACAGGGGAGTTACAGAAGTTGTGACACGGGAACAGTGATCCAATCATAATTATACAACATCATTGACAGCGGGTTTGACCATATACATTGTCTAGAGTATTCGTTACTTTTGGCGGGATCCAATTACGACGTTTAGAGTACCTTTAAATTCAACCAATCACAGAGCGAGCCTACGGTCTTACTCGGCGACTAACGGGTTAACTTTAACATTAGGTAACAGGGTCCTATCCATAGTTTCTATCTCCAGGCCTCTCCCTTAACAATGTGGAGGGTGGTCGCTGGCGTTTCCAGATTGGGTGCTGCAAGGGTGGTTACTCCTGCCTTGGGCAATGTGTAACTGCCTGATAGTTTCGGGGAAGCTGAAACTCGGGCCTTCTAGTTCAGAGGGGAAACTTAAAGCCTGTCATGGAGTCAGTTTGGTTTAGACGTTTAGACTTGTGGCCTTACAATTGAAAATACTAGTTTTCTTGGTGTAGTGGTAGTGTCTCAGGAGATGGAGTTTTGGTGAAGAGGGAGCAGCAATGAGCCCCTTGCTGTGATCATCCTTCACTTACATTTTTAGCCGTTAAGATACTGATTGGAAGTTAATTCAAAATGGGGGTGCCTGGGTGGCTCTGGCTCAGTCGGTTTAGTTTCTGACTACGGCTCAGGTCACGATCTCACAGTTTGTGAGTTCGAGCCCCACGTCAGGCTCTGGGCTGACAGCTTAGGCTTGGAACCTGCTTCTGATTCTGTGTCTCCCTCTCCTTCTGCCCCTCCCCCACTCACATTATCTCTCTCTCTCAATAATAAATATTTTAAAAATTAAAAAAATAAGTTATTTCGAGACAGAATACTTGGTGAAGATGTACATACATATATAAGAAATTAGAACAGAGGAAAAAAGTAACAGATGTTTATTTTATTTAGGATAATAAATATTAAAAATATTCTTTGGCCAAATAAATGTCCATCAAAGTCTATTGAAGGACAGCAGATTTCTCCAACCTAAAATGTATCTCTTTGGCATAAGGATGATTTTGAGCGAACTGCAATCAAAACTAGCAGATTCAGGAAAACCTTTTAACTTCCCTCTCACCTGCCTTAATCTACATTGGAAAGGGGGCCTGTGCCAAGGAAAGGTGCCACCGAGATACCTTTTGTGTTTTTTTAATGTTTATTTATTTGTGACAAAGAGACAGAGTGTGAGCAGGGGAGGGGCAGAGAGAGGGAGACACAGAAGCAGGCTCCAGACTCTGAGCTGTCAGCATAGAGCCCCATGCGGGGCTTGAACAGAGATCATGACCTGAGTTGAAGTCAGACGCTTAACCAACTGAGCCCCCAGGTGTCTCTGAAGATACCTTTTCTTTTCTTTTCTTTCTTTTTTCAGAGATATGTTTAGTCTGAGAAAGATATCTGCATGACAGGGAAACTTTCTTTTCTAAACTCCTTCTCTCTCCTTCCCCTGAATGGTCTTACTTCTCTTTAAGCCTCCAGGCCCTTCCCCCTTGGTTCAGTATGTTCTCTAAGCCTCATTACCCGGGTGCCCTAGGGGTCTTCTATTTTTAGGAGGCTCTCATACATATAAAGTTTGTTTTCATCCTGTTACTCTGTCTCGTATCAATTTAATTATTAGATGAGCCACAGAACTTAGAAGGGAAGAAAGGAAACATTTCACCCCTCTCCCACATACCATAAATACATATTTAAAAGAAATAAAGTCTGTTAATAACATAAGAAGTAGTAAAAATAAATACTAGTTATTTAACATTTTATATAAAATGTAGAATATTTTAAATTCATGTTTATTAAAGTGGAAACATTTTAAAGTATAAAGTTAATATAAACTATTTTAAATTTAGTGCTAAAAATAAACATTACTGTATTAAAAGGAAGCATGCTATGTGTATGTGGTATTTTACATAAATCATCTGCATTAATTCTTACACTAAGTTTATGAGGTAAATACTGTTATGATCCCAGTCCTACTCTGCACATGAACAAAGATTTAGAAAGCATAAGCTACTGACCAAAACCCAATCAGGAGAGAAGATACAATTTAAAACCAAGCTTTTCAAACTCGAGTTTCAGCTATTAACCACTTCCTGTAACACACACTTGAACAATGGGTGACATTAGTTACAGGAGTTTACGAAAATTATTGGTGTCAAAAATTTCAGAGTATGATCCTGTATTTGTTTTTAAAAAATAAAATCCCAGGTATGTGAAAAATATCGTTCTAAGTATTATGTGAAAACCAAATTTTTATTTTAGTCATTTAAAATCAAAAGGCTTAAAGAAAAAACAAACCACAAGCAGTAAGTTTGTAGATACAAGTACTTTATTTTTGTAGGGCTTTAAATGTACTCCAATGAATTTATAGTGAATGCAATTGTGATCACAATCTCAAAGGGATTTTTTTTTCTGAAACTACTACAATGATTCTAACGTTGCCCATGAAAGGAATCTTGTGAAACGAGATCAGAAACTTGAAAAGAAATCATGAGACCTATCGTGCCAAATCAGGCCCTCTAATACAGCTGCAATGTAAAATATTGATGTAATGCAAAAGAACAGTGTAGGGGAGGAAAAGTAACTTACTCTCTGCCCTGCTAGGTTCTGAAGAGCCTAAATAATGTCATTTTGAAATTAAGGCCTCCATTAAGAGCAACCTCAGGCTGCACGGAGCCCCAGTTCCTCAGATTGCTCAAGGTTAAAGCCATTCTCGGACCGCCTTCAGATCAGCTAATCAAAAAAAACATTCCTGTGGTCTGAGTCAAGGCTGGGAACTGTAGACAGTTATTCTGTACAAACTAGCCAATTTCTCACCGCTTCCCTGAACCCCACGTGGGCCCTCTGAACTCACCTCATAATTGGTCATTTTCAAAGGATTCTCAAAAGTCATGATTGGGTCCCACCAAATGTAATGAACACCTCACAGATACTGAATGGTCAAAGCTGTTACCATGGGTAGTGCTGTACAATTGTAATTGGAACTTACGTAATGATGTCATACGTACAACGTGTGCACTGTAACACCCCGTCCCTTACCCCATAAAAACCCTGCTCTCTATTGTTCGGGGCTTCACCTTGCTGCCATTACACCGGTAGGTGGGTGAGCCCCTGCCCGAGCTTGTAATAAAGACCCTTTTGTACTTGCATCGGTGTCGGCTCCTTGGTGGTCTCTGGGGACTCACGAATCGGGCACAACAGTTCTGTACCTCCCCCCCCCCACACACACACAGTACAGGCAGATTAACGAGAGAAAAACAGAGGTTTAATGACATCATATATACACAGGAGAGAGAGACTGAAAATCCTAGTAAAACTCCCTGGAAAAGCCCAACACCACCTTACATATCATTTTCCACTAAAGACCAGAGATGCCCGTTTTCTGGGAAGGGCGAGCCCAGGGAGCCAGTCATGGGCTCCCAGAAAAAGGATGGGAAACAAGGCAAGGGTGTTATGCAGAATTAAGTCCGACTTTCTTCACTGCAAGATTCTGTGCTCATGTGGTCTTCCTTGTCTTTCCGGCATAGAAAGGGAGACAGACTGAGATCTCCTTTATAAATGTAAAACGCCCCTTAAGAAAGAGTGACTTGTACTCTGCTTTTAGAGATTCTCCTGCGTCTGGCATTTCTTTAAATTTCTCAAAAGTAGCCCTTAGGCCAGAGAGGCCTATTTGGGGGCGGCATATTCTGTACCCTTCATAGGAACGTGGCATATTTGGGGAAGATGTGTCTTGAACTCGTCCACTCCTGTTTTGGGGTGACATCTTAGGGTTCCCTTCCCAGCTATCAATCACCCGCCTTCTGAAGGAGAGAGCGCAGTACTTGGTTACAAAAAATAAGCCCCTGTGAACACTCTCACGAGCAGATAGAATTTCAGATACAAACACCAACAGGCTCAGGAAAGGCTCCGTCCCCCACACGTCATTGGCTCTCAGTGCAGAGCGGGGCGGAGTCCGGGGTGTGGCCGCGGGGCTCGGTTCCCGCCCGCGCCTTCGGTTCTCAACCAGGTCCGACGGCTGCTTATAATTACTGCGATCGCGACAACAGGGCCATCGCTGCGACCTGCTCCCGTAGCGCACCGAGGCAGCCATGTCCGGCCGCGGCAAGGGCGGGAAGGGCCTGGGCAAGGGCGGCGCCAAGCGCCACCGCAAGGTGCTGCGCGACAACATCCAGGGCATCACGAAGCCCGCCATCCGGCGGCTGGCCCGGCGCGGCGGCGTCAAGCGCATCTCCGGCCTCATCTACGAGGAGACGCGCGGGGTGCTCAAGGTGTTCCTGGAGAACGTGATCCGGGACGCCGTCACCTACACGGAGCACGCCAAGCGCAAGACGGTCACGGCCATGGACGTGGTCTACGCGCTCAAGCGCCAGGGCCGCACCCTCTACGGCTTCGGGGGCTGAGCGCCCGCGACCCACGACGACCGCCACACGCACAAAAAGGCCCTTCTCAGGGCCCCCATCCCTTCAGCGAAGGGGCCGTGACGCGAGTTCCCTTTAGTTCCCCCTGTTGGGTCTTGGTTTCATGTCCTCCACTCCAACGTCTCGTTTCTGTGCTTCCCTGTCCTTCATGCTGTTCAGGAAGTTTCCTCAACGCATCCGAGCCAGCAAAGTTCTGCGGTTTTGCTGTGTTCATGCAGGTTGTTAAGCGTCAGTGAATTAAACGAGTAAACTTGACACACAGTTTAGCGTTTATTGGTTTCACCGTGGCATTTCGGGATTTTAACTACTAGGAGCCTCGGTCTGATCGCAGCTGCCAAGAAGCGGGTTCGAGGCTGTGGATCAGGACCATTTCTGGGCCCAGATGTGCGCGTGTCAGGATTCAGGGAAGCGAGACGGACACTCCGCGTCTCCACAAGGAGTTCGTGACGAGGTGCATTAAGTACTCACGAGACCTTCACGTTTTATCCCTGTTTAGTGGCCTTTCTGGTGACACATATCCTGCTCGAGAAGCAAGTGCGGCAGTTGTGAGAAGCCTTACTTCTTGCCCCCCTTCTGATGGGTCCAGCACGTGGTTGGTCTCTGGCTCCGATCCGGTTTCCACACAGTGTGGACTGTGGGAGCTGGATGAAGACTCAGGCCAGTTCCCCACAGAGGGGTGCTGGGGGCGGGGCGCAGCTGAAAGGCGTTTCAACGAAGTAATAAGGGAAACACGGTTGCAGCAGAGAAATGTTAGGATGAAAAAGCAGGGCAGACCCTAACCCAGAGGGGCTACTGAAGAGATCCTGGGTAGGGAGCGGAAAAGGAATCAAACAAACGGTTGGGACCGAAACCCAGACCGAAACTCAAAGTAGGTCTTAGTATTCCTCCAGACCAGATCTTAGCAAGGAGAGAAAGAAACCCAAAGTCAAAGGTAGAAAGTTTGGCCAGTGCAGATACACAGACTGAAGGAGTCATTGTCCGCAGGGATATAAAAAGAGTAAACAGTGATCTATCTATGTATGTGTGTGTGTGTGTGTGTGTTTTCTAAGGTTGAAATTAAAAAAGCATTTTCCCTTGCCTCACCAAGAATTAAGCTTTGTAAGGTCAAATACTAAATATGCATCTGGCCTGTCTCCCAACTCAGGATCCTCGATTCAGTGCCTTCTTTCTTAATGATTGTGATCTCTCATTTTCCTGGGAAGATGGGCCTAATTTCAGCTAACATATGACTCTAAATTGCAAAACCCAGGGCACCTGGGTGGCTTAGTCGGTTAAGCGTCCAACTTTCGCTTAGGTCATGATCTTGCGGTTCGTGGGTTTGAGCCCCGCGTCCGGCTCTGTGCTGACAGCTCAGAGCCTGGAGCCTGTTTCAGAGTCTGTGATTCCCTCTCTCTCTGACCCTCCCCTGCTCACGCTGTCTCTCTCTCTCTCTCCTAGAAATAAATAAAAACATTAAAAAAAATAAATTGCAAAACCCACAGTGTTTTGAATATTTCCTTCGCTATTCTTGTAGAAGATTATCTGTCGTGAGACTTTGTTTATATTTCCCCAACACCTTCTGAAGGTCTGTTATCTATTTGTGGCTTTCCCTTGATTTCTTTAATAATTTTGATAACAGTCTCTCAGTTCTTCAAAATAAACAAGAAAAAGAAAAATCCCTAAGTATTCTGTACATTATTTAAGTGTTATTTTTATAGCTAATATTCTAGTACTTGTCTTCAGAAATCTATGACTTATGGTCATAGCCTGATTTAATGAAACATTCAAAACTTCCTGATATTACCTTTCCTAAATCCAGGCCCCAAATTTTGAATAATGAAACCATGAATGCATTTATTCTACCTAAACTCCTTTTGTAGTTTCCCATGGGGCCACGAGGCCACACATAGTTTCTCATTTGATGAGAAAAGATGTACTTTGTAATTAGCAATATACAATTGTGAGAACTGTGTTGTTATATATATCGTGTAATAGGAAAAAAGAGGGCAAATCAAAAATAAATTATACATTCATAAGTTAACCAGATAAAATATTTTTAATCTAAATGTTTAACAATTTTACTTACGTTGGATAGAACATACTTATATTGATATAAAATAGCCACACAAAACTACCAACAGACAGTTCCTAGATAGCAATGCCATGGCAAAAAATAACAAATACTTTACAGGAAATATCAGAAGCCTCTAAGAGGCTTATCAATCTCCTCTGTATTCACAGTATCATACTTAGAGAATTCTATCCTATTCCATCCATAATGATAACACTGATTAATATAGTAAATTACCCAGACATTCTCTGGACATCAGCACATGGTTACTGTTTTTCCTTAGACTGTTTTCTAGCGGCCCATTCTACAAAATGCAGGTCAGAAATGGAGTTTTCCAGAAGAAGCATCAAAAGAACTTTAATAAATAAATGTACCCGATACCTGTCAGGCTCTGCCGTGGGACTGATTTAAGATTTTCTAAGCCATATTAGAAGCAGGTTACTTAGCCCAAGATCAGTAAACCAAGAATTAATCAGTTAGGACTGAATGAACTGATTTGGTTGTAGCTAAAATTCTTTCACTAAAGTCTTCTTATACTTGTAATTGCTATCTTTTTCAAATGATTTCTCACATTTTAGAAAAATATTCTATTAAAAGAAATCCTGGTAAATTGTCAGGAATACTTAAAACTATCGACTCTGTTGAAAATGGGTTATATATTGATTGGCTCTATCTACAAAACCACACAGAATAATGATTGGATTTTATACAAAGTGCTGTCTCCTAGGAATGCAGTAATTATAATGTGGTTAATATAGGTTAAAAACTAACTGATCCTTCTTAAAACAAGTAGGCCTTTATCCCCTTTCCAAACTATCATTAAAACAGACCAAGGAAGACAAAAGATAAAATTTTAAATACTTAATCATAAGATACCTACCGGTCTGATCACAGGTGATAAAAAGCCTTGATGTTGATTCTCTAAACATTTCAAAGTATATATTTCTCTATTATTTGAAGGTATTCAACACTGCTATAGAAACAAATGTGATGGATGAAACTTATGTCTTAGGTATAGATAAATAGTTAGAAAATTGAGCATGTATGTATTAAGCATATAGAGAAAGGACCAAGAGATACGTAATATTCATGAGGCACGTTTATACTTGAAACACCTGAACATTCAATATGCAGGAGATACATGAGGCACTAAATATTCACGATACACTAAATGTATTTGGAACAGGTATTACCTCAGTGCAGCCCCCCTCTGGTGATGTGCATTCTGGCCCCACATATCCTTTGCCTAAGACACACAAATCAGTCACCTGGCTATGAGGCAGTTGAATTGCCTAAGCAACAGCTGTGGCCAGTCATAACTGTCTCTCTTCAAAAGACTAGGTCCCTGTCATTGGTGCTGGGTTACCTTCCATTTGAGGAACTACTTGCCCAAACTTGGACTCTGGTCTTCAACAAGAAAGGCTGTATGTGGCAGAGAGAAAGGTAACTAAATATATAACCAATGACTCAGCTGCTGAGGTCCATCTCCTCACGCCCTCATCCCAAGCTGTAACGTACCACACGTCTTCCCCTTTGTCTCAGGCTATGTGCTCAAATGGATTGAAAGACCCAAGCGTTCTCGCTTTGTAATTTAGTCTGGGTCTTTCCGTGCCACAGGACAGCTTGTCGGAGTGTATTTTGAGGTCAGCAAGGCATAAACCCAAAACGAGTGCAAGTGAACAAGTACACATTGTAGGAATAATCAAGAGAATATCTCTGTTGGGTGGAAGATGGGCTAAATGGGGTATCAGCGTTAAGGAGGGCACTTGTTGGGCTGAGCACTGGTATCATGTGTAAGTAATGAATCACTAAATTCTACTCCATAAATAAATTAATTAATTAAATAGATAGAATATCCCCATCATTTGCAAAGTTGTTTGGGAAAAACCATACTGACACCAGAGTATTATGCACGGCTCCCTAAGAGACTATCTTAATCCAGTCAGTTAATATGGCTGGATCTCTGCTGGAAGGTGGTGGTTAAAAAAAGTTACTCACACCCCGAGATCACAAAATGAGATGCAATTCATGGTGAAGCATAAGTAACTGCTTCTCACAGCAGCGTGTGTCTGGCACTGTTACTTAAGCACTTCACCTTATCAACTCAATCCTCAAAATAATCCTTTGAGTGAGGTATCATCATCATCGTCGTCGTCATCATCATCATCATCACAACCATGTACATGAAGAAACTCAGGCCCAGGAAAGATTTAGAACTTAACTTGATCTCACAACCAAAAGATGCCTCTAATGACTGTGTTTAAACATTTCACCATCTACCGTCACTTTAGTAAGCAGAATTCTAGGACAGGACATTTACATCTTAACTCACTTAAGAATTTCTTTTTTTACATGCTTGAGATTAGTCTTTTTTATGTCCAAAGTATATGTGGGTCCACTTGCTGGTGCCAAATCTGACATTTTCCCAAGTTGAAAATACATGTGTCGTGTGGTTTACATTAATGACACAAACTCTGTGAAAATATCTACTAAACACACTTGAGCTCCATAGAGCAGAAACATTGTGCTTTTTTGCTCAAATCTTAATAACAATGTTACTGTAACTGCCAGCGAATTTTTATTAGCAACCACCAAGGACGCACTCACCGTTTGTCCAACATAAGCTAGCGCTGAATGTCAGTCATGATCCTCATCCTTAAAACATACACCTTTAACCTTAAGTTGTAAAAATTCTCTACTCTTCGTGGTAAATAAGTGACCATGAGCAGCAAGAGGACATTAGTTGTTCTTCCAGACTCACACTGACCTGAGATGACAGGTGACATTTGGAGGGGGCAGAGACCCCAACTACAAACAACTTAAACCTTAGGACAAAACTCTTCTGAATTTTCAGTCTGAAAACTTTTTCAACTCTCACCAAGCAGACTCTCCATCAGGACTTCTTGCACGGGGCCCATCAGAGGGTCTCCCCAGCGGGCCCAGTTAGGTCTCAAAAAGTTGTGTTCCCCGCAGCAAGCCCTAGAAACCCCTTCACACAACCTCCTTCCTCAAGCAAATCCCGCCAACAAGACCCCAAGGCAGACGGCGAGGGCCGCTGCGTAAGGTCTGCAGCAGGAGAGGGGGCGACCCACGCGCCACGCGGGGCAGCGAGCGCCAAAGTAGCGTCACAGCTCCTCTGGGATAGTGGGTGGAGCCCTGAAAAGG